TTAAGACTCAACATTAGCAAGAAATTATTTACTGTGAGGGTGGTGAGACACTGGCACAGGTTGCCCAGAGAAGCTGCGGCTACCCCATCCCTGGCAGTGTTCAAGGCCAGGTAGGACAGGGCTAGGAGAAACTTGTCTAGCGGAAGGTCCCCTGCCAGGGGCAGGGGGGTTGAAACTGGATGAGCTTTAAGGTGCCTTCCAACCCAAACCATTCTATGCTTCTATAAAATTACAGTCATTAAGAATGCATGTGTAGTCATCTTTCTGCCAGTCCCCTTGCTCATAAGTAGCCCAGTTGCAACACACACTCAGACATGCCAGCTGCCCTAGTGACTCCTGTAACTCTCACACTCCTATGTACCAGTGCAAAAACTAACTCCTCATCTAGCAGTCAAAAACAGAATTATTGCAAATTCATTTGCAGTAGTTTTAATTTGATTTCTACAAATATTTCCTTACTGTAAACAGTGCAAGAAAAATAAACATATAATCATAGAATGGTTTGGGTTGGAAAGGACCTTAAGATCATATAGTTCCAACCCCCCTGCCATGGGCAGGAGCTCCTTAAGCTAGACCATGTTGCCCAAGGCTCTGTCCAGAGTGACCTTGAATCTGCCTGTCACCTAAAATCACAACTTTATTCCAGATAATATTCTGCATCTTTTCAGGCCTTTTCCAACAGCAAGAGGGACAGTTATAGACATAGTGCTTCCGGAGAACCACAGCAAAAACTGGGCTCATTATGTTGTCTGTGAATGTATTTTTGTGGCTTTTACAGAATATTTTGGACGAAGGAGTTTAAACCAGTGGGTGGTATTATCTGAATGTCTGCTTATGCAGACATGTAGAAAAATATATGCCAGGAAAATTTAGTCACACAATAAAATTAAATAGGAATTAAGATCACCAAGTTTCACATCCCATAAAACACAGACTAAATCCAGTAATTTCAAACAGTTACGAGAGAGTTACTGAGTCATGCCCATAAATTATATATAGGCTACAGTACTTTCATTTTCAAGCTATGAAGAATCCACCATGTCCTTTGAATATCTTGAATTCATGTAGTTCTTCTCCCGACTACAGAACTTACTACAGCTTTTCCTAGAGGTTTACAGATGTAAGCGGCGAGGAGAAGCAGACAGGCCAACCCAATATGGGTGATAAGCAACTTCTACTTTATTTGTGATGCAGTTCACACATATATAGGAGTGGTATTCAGCCACTCCTTCTTGGCATAACAGTATTGGTTAGCCCCCACAGCTTCCTCCACATTCTCCTCCCAGGTCCGGTCTCTGGCCACCTGTGGGGGCCACCCCCTGCCTTGTTTGCACAGTCCTCCAGAACACTATGGTCCTGCTCTTAGAGTCATTCTGCAACATAAAGAAACCTTTGTTTATGAAAAACAAAAAAAAAATTCTACTTGTAGTTTTTTAATTTAATTTTTAAAATGGGGTTGGAAGTGATATTCTAAAGCAAACTAGCTCACGCTTTAGCCTGAAACAGCATCAACTCTACTGGTGTAATTCCTGTAGATATTTATTTGCAACAGATGGTAATTCCAAAACCTTCATATACAACATATTTTACTGCTTCACTATTCTCATTGCCAAAACATATTCCTCTTGTACTCCACCTGAACTTCCCCAACTTCAAGCTCAACCTGTTACTTCTTGTTTCATTCATCATGGACACAAAGATGAGTTTATTCCACATTTCTCAATTATTTGAAAATTGAAATGATGTTTCCTTTCATCTTCTCTTCTGTAGACAAAATCCATCTGAACTTTACACTGTAATTCGTACTTCTCAGGCTACAAATCATTCCTACACTGTCTAAACACTTTTAACATTTTCTTTAAATGCTGTGAGTGTCAAACCTCACAAAGAGGGAACAGAGCAGCAGACAGAAGAAGCTGGCAAAGTCTATAGTAATCTTAAACCTACTATTATTAAGGAAATACCATCTTTACACTATTACTTATTACAGTGATCATTCACCCTACATACTTACATTCTGCCATTTCCATCCTTACTTATCTCAACATCCTGGCTTCACTTCCAAGGCATGTTTGGCTCTCCTCCACTTCCTTTCTGGCTCAACAGCTGTTTGCTAAGTCTAGTTTCTCAGAAATTCACAATTTGACCAAAGACAATCAGATTTTCATGAAAATTGAAAAATAATCCTAAAACTCATCTACTCACCATGATCCTTCTCTTCCAAATCCAAAAGCAAACACAACTAACATTATAAACTAGATTATTTTACCATTTTCCTAAAATTATACAAACATGAGGAGCTTTTTACAAGGGCATATAGGGAAAGAACAAAGGAGGATGGCTTCAAACTGAAAGAGGAAACATTTAGATTAGGTATTACCAATAAATTCTTTCCTGTGAGGGTGATGAGGCCCTGGCACAGGTTGCCCAGAGAAGCTGTGGCTGCCCCATCCCTGGCAGTGTTCAAGGCCAGGCTGGACAGGGCTTGGAACAACTTGGTCTAGCAGAAGGTGTCCCTGCCCATAGCAAGAGGTTGGAACTAGGTAATCTTTAAGGAACTTTCCAACCCAACCCATTATACGACTGGTTCTATCATGATGAAAGGCTGAAAGGTTTACAGCATAACAAAGACAATCTAACCTACAGTATTTTTTTGCATAATATTGTCTTTACTTCAGGCTTGATAAACATACACACAGAAACTAGAAAATTATCGCTATCATAATACTCATATTTTTAGCAGCCCTCAGTAAATACAGTCTTTATTGGACCAGGCAATTCCCAGAAATCCCTTCTAGCTGCAACAATTCTGTGAAACAAAGGGACCACTGTACTTTTTTTCTCCTTAGAGCAATGAATTGTTGACCTAACAAACAACATATTAGGTATATTAATAGCAGCAACTATCTACAGAAAGTTCTTCAATGCACGAAAAAGAGGAAAAGCAATTTTGAAATTGCATAATAATGTAAAAATCAAAAATTATATGTCCATGAACAAATTCAAATCAAAATCAAATGTTCAAAAGATGATGACTGTGCTTGATGACACAATATGAACTTTACTCAATGAAAATCTGTTGGTGATTATGGATAATGAAATGATGACTAGGGCTTATGAATAAAATTACTATTTCATTTTATCAAAGAATAACACAAAAACAATATAGGAATGTCAATATATTTAAAGGAAAGAAGAAATTACGTTAAAGTATGCATGAAAATCATTGTTATGAAAAGAAGTCATCAACCTCTTAATGGACTAATGCATACTGAAATGTAATAACGCACTTTGCTCAGGATTTACTTAGAGAAAACATGCTGCCTCATTCTTCTCGAGTCCAAAATGCAATAAAATTACATACTTTACGCATGACAGCATCTGAAATAACTTGACAATTACCATTAGCCTGAAGCCAGTACACAACTAAACCCTGAGCAAAAAAAAAAACCTTAATTTTATTTAAAAAAAAAAAATTATTAAATAATAAATGGATTTCACATTTGTCTTAGGAGATGCCTTAAATCAGATGCTTTCCATGTCTGTAACGAGATAAAATTGTAGAAATACAGAAGTTAAGGATGGACTTTGATCAAGGCAGATCTCATTTCAGAATCATGCCCTCCACTTAGAATCATAGACTCATAGAACAGTTAAGGTTGGAAAGAACCTTAGGATCATGTAGTTCCAACCCCCCTGCCATGGGCAGGGACACCTCACACTAGACCATCGCACCCAAGGCTTCGTCCAACCTGGCCTTGAAACTTGCAATTGTGAGGACACTGTGCATTCAGTAGAAAATGTGATCTGTATCAGAAAAAGCAAAGATTAAATTAGCAGAAATAACTGGCCAGTATGTCTTCTCCTTATAGCTGTAACCAGCACTGAACAAGAATGTGAGTATATCTTTTTTGCGTTATTTCTTTACACATTTTTTTCCTCTCACGGTAATTTTTTTTTTCACTAATTAATTATTAGCACCTTCACTGTTCTACCATCATGAAGTCACCCGTATATCAAAAAGGTGTGCCAAGAAGCCAGTCGTGTACACAACTTCATACAGAGCCTCACCCAGAACATGCTCACTGCTGCAGCTGAACACATTATGCATGAACGGTTATTGCCAAAGTGATATTCCAGACTTGGGGTGAGAGGAAGCATCTCTGGAAAACAGTATTGCATTTCATTCCATAACACAATCATTTTCAGGAATCCGTTTTCATTAGATGAAATAATACAGTATCTGTTGGCACTCTGGGGAACATAGTTGAGTCTTTGCTACCCTCCCAGTGGGGCAGCCTCAACCAAGAGGCAAGACAGGATCTCACTTGTAAGCATGTGCCCTACCACAGACCCATAAAACAAAGGTGGTGAACCTGGACACCCTAAAGGGTGTGTGTAAAGCCTCCAACACTTCAGGCTTTAAACTGGAGCAGCTCTGTGGCCTACACCAGCCTTGCCTGAATGCCTGAGCCCTAAATGGGGCCCCCCAGAAGGGACAAGTGACCACAGTGGCCTCTCGGGAGAAAACATGACCCGTGGGGCACCTTGAGGAGGGATGAAGAGGGCAGGTTTAGATTGGATATTAGGAACAATTTCTACACAGAGAGGATGATCAGGCATTGGAACAGGCTGCCCAGGGAAGTGGTGGAATCACCGTCCCTGGAAGTGTTCAAAAACCATGTAGATGAGGCTCGCAGTGATACAGTTTAGTGGTGGTCCTGGGTTAACGGTTGAGCTTGATGATCTTAAAAGTCTTCTTCAACGCAGCCCACCCTATATGACCCCAGGAAGACAAATACACACGAAGAACCTCCCAACCTTCTCCGGCTAAGGGCTGTAGGAGGCGGAGACTGAAGGAAGGGAGAGAGAGTTAGTCCCTCCCCCTCCCATGGCCACGCCCCTTCCGCCCGTTCCCCTAGCAACGCCTGGGGCGGTGCCCACTCCCGCCTCAGCTCGCTGCGCGGGCTCCGATAGGAGAGGGGAGCTGACTTCCGGCCCGACTGTCCCGCCTCGGAAATGACATTGGAGTGTCAACATGCAAGATGGCGGCGCATCATCGGCAGAACACGGCGGGGCGGCGGAAAGTGCAGGTGAGGACGAGGCGGGGCTCGGGGGGGGCCGCGGAGCGCCGGGGGCCTGGCGCGGCCTGGCCCGGCTGGAGGAGGGTGGTGAGGCGGAGCGCTGCCACTTGGGCGGCGAGCAGGTGGCGGAGAGCGGAGGTAGTGCGCCGGGCCAGGCAGGGTTGCCTGGGACTCTGTCGCCTAGCGTCGGGGGGGGCTGTAGTCGCGGCTGCTATCAGCTGAGGAGGTGCAGAGATTGGGGGTTTCTGTGGCAATGCAGTCGCCTCCTTCCCTTTCCCAACAACACTGAGGTAAAGGGGGGACCAACCCACCACTCTCCCCAACACCTTTTCCCTATCGCCGCCGCGAATCCACTAACGTCCTGTGAGGAGGGGGGGTGGCTGCCTTTGGTACCGCGGCCTGGCCGGCCGACGGGGAAAAGGTGCAGCTAGCTGCCGAATGGGGTCAGGTGCCCCAGCCCTGACAGGCTGAACTGAAGCTCCCCCCCGTCTGCCCTTTTCAGCTCCGCGCAGTGCTTCTTGAAGGAAGAGCGGGGCAGGAGCTGTCTGGTGGGTGTAAAAACTTTCTCAGCTCACGCGAGAGACGATCAGACCGCGTGGTATAGCTCCTGTGTAACTATGAGTACACTATTATAGCCGTGGTGGAGACTGGAATTAATGAAGTGTGTATAAAAAGCCAAGAGTGCAAGCATTAAAAGTCGTGAAAATTGTTTTATTATGGTTCTCAACTTTTTTGTTCTTTTTTGTGATACTATCAGCAATTTAAACTTTTTTACATTTTTCACTATGGAAAAGATTTAATGCTTTCTCAGTGCACAGAGCTGCCTACCTCTAATGGCAAATGCAAGTTTCAGCTGTATCTGCCTGCTGTTCATGGGAGAAATATTGATTAAGCCTGAAATAACATTAGAATCCTTCCAGACAGAGGTGAGCTTGGTTTTTGAACAAATTTTTTTGCGGTTTATTACACGGAGGAAATGTGCACTTCTTCATAGCCTTTAGTGCCTTTCGTGGTTAAAGTAAGCATTCGATCAGTGCTGTATAAAGAATTCCCTTGCCCTACTGAAAAAATCCTCTGACATTCTTTAAAATACAAAGAATCCAAAATATACCAGCCTTTAACTGACATCATTGCCTGTGTTATAAACAAGTTTTTGCTGTTGCTCTCATAAGGAGGGAGATTTTATGATAACTAGAGCTTTCTTTGATGTAGTCCTATTTCTTTATGAAGTGTTATTTCCCTGACAGCAGCATGCATCAAAGAGTATGTTGTTTCCTTTTTTACTACTGTATTGCTTTTGCAAATATTACTTAGGTCAATATGTTGTATTTACAGGTGGTTTTCTGTTGGTTTACAATGTCTTATTTTCCACTTTCATTGTTATGAGATATTTTTTTTTTCCCACTTAAGGTATTGCTGTGTCTCAGCCAGTACATTGTAAGTCTTGATCTGCAGAATAACTTTATAAGCATATATAAACCCTTGAGTAGAAACTAAGTATTTTCTTGTGCTCTTATTGTTTCACCTACTTGGTTAGAGACAGGATTTTGTTCATGTAATGGAATTCTAAGTGGCTGTTATAGCCATGAGCTGCTGATGGAGAGTTAAAACCACTAATGATTTCGTTTGCTTCCTAATGGCTAAGCATTTAGGGTGCTGCTACATGAAGTTTGGGGGTTGGGGTGGGAGAGGGAGAGGATTTCTCCCAAACTTATGAGGCATGGGGAAGAAGCTATTTTAAGAAATACCTCTCGGGCATGGAGGAACTTGATTCCTTACATGGCATGAGAGCTGGTTGAAGATTATGGAAATCAGAACTATTATTATCTTGGATGCACCTGTTTTACTGGTAAGCAGAACCATCCAAAATCATCAGTTTAAGGTGCTTCTGCATATAATTTATGTTTATAAGGGTTAAATCAGAATAGATGTTTTAGGCCTCAAAATAAATTACACACATAAAAACATGTAAGAAGTTTATTATTTGCATGTAAGTCAGGTATTTGAAATGTCCAGCAGGCTGTTGGTATTTTGTAAGTTTAGTGATATATGTCTGAGGGCTGCAGTAGAAAGGCCGTCTGATTTAGAGTTTTGAACAGGCTGCCCAAAGAAGTTGTGAATGCTCTATACCTAGCAGCATTCAAGGCCAGGTTGGATAGCGCCTTGAACGACCTGATGTAGTGGGAGGTGACCCTGCCCATGGCAGGAGGTGGAACTGGGATGATTTTAAGGTCCTTTGCAAACCAAGCCATTCTATGATAAGTGAAATGGGGATGCAGAGGTGTCACTGTTGTGTGATGAGAAACAGCTGGCCATATGATGTAGCTCTCAGATATGTTACTGTGAATTAAGGTGAAGCCACTTTTGAGCAGGTCACTTAAAGTAGCAGCCCTTGAGTGGTTATGTTGTGACTGCTCCCCCAAACGTGCTGCCTGGCCAGAATAAATTCAACCCCACACTCTAAACCTGTTAATAGAACATGGGGATTTTTCCATAAGTGATTTAGATTAGCATCTTCCATGTAACATTATTGAATGAATGTTAAGTCCTTTTTATCTTTGTCTTCTACAGAATAAAAAGATCTTTTTGCACTGACTTTGTCATATTTATGCACAAATACTGCATTATGACAGCAATTAGAAAGCAGTGAAACAAAAAACCCTTGCATTTGAAAATATTTCAGCTGCTGATTCTGTACCATTTTTAATAGGGCTTTTTTTCTAGGGATGTTTATGGTTAAAACCCATTTAAAATATTTTTGATAGTATCATTAGATTTTGTATTCTGCCCTTTATTAGATTTTACATCTACATTTATATTTTATAGATGATAAATGTATAAATTTATTATTTGATGTATAATACTCAAGCAGACAAATAGCTAGTAAGTTGATGCCATTGTAAAAGGATAGAATTAACTGCTTAATGCTTTCCATTGCTTTTATTCTCAGGCCTGGAGTGTTTGATAAAAATTCAAGTATCAATATGTTCTTAATTTTAAAACTTAACTATTGCCCTACTAACTTACTAAGGGAGTAGTTTAGGGTTTTTTACCCTTGGTGGTAGACTGCTGCTGCTCTCCTTTTTTAAATGTGATTCATGTCAAATCTCATGGAATCCTTCCAGTGGTTATGAGAAATTCCATTTTTTTAATTGCTTGCAATAGCATTTGTGTCTTTGAAATTTTTCTTTACTTATAAACAAGGAATGAGTGTCATTAGAGCTCAGCTGTTCACTGTTTCCTCCACCGTGATGGTGTGGTGGTGTTACTAAAAGCAGATTCTACCCATCTATTAAGGCAAAATCTGTTATAAGACTTGTAATATAGCAAGGGTCACAAGATTTCAGATCAGCTGGTACACTCATCCATGCAGGAAACACATTGTAGGTACTGTAGGAAATTCACTTGGCTCTGTGTGCCAAAATGTTATCTGTCTACAGTAGCTTTATCACTGGAGCTCTTGAATAGTAATTAAAATGATTAATCCTGATCCATTTAGGGTACTGAATGCCATCAACTCTGTATAATGAGTGTCCATCACCTTGTAATGTTTGTGCACTACTGCAGTGATTCTTATTCATTAAGGGAGTTTATAAAAGCTGCAGCAGTACAAATGTAAAAGGCCTTGGTCATTACTAAAATATTTCATATCCCACAAGTCTTGTTCCTGCCAGACCATCGTGGCAATAAAACCACTGTGATCTGTATCATAGTCATTATTATCTTTGTGGTTTGCAACTGACTTAAATAAATCAATGCAATGAACAAAGCAGTTATGTGCTTTCAGTGCACCCTGTTTGAAGTGAATGCGGCTTAAGAGTCGTAACTTCCTGATGACCTTCACAGTCTTTTCCAGGCAGATTATGGTATCTTATCTAGAGTGATAAAAATGTATATGCTGCAGGTCAGAGTTGAATTTTATCACAGCAATTGCTTCTCAGCCAAAAGCCTGTTGCTTTTATGTTGGTTAGGTATATGTGTGTACGCACATACTTAAATATATGCTTTTTTTTTTTTGTATTTGTTTGTATAAATACTATATTTACTAATAGTTCTTATCTTTCTATTCAAATTAAAAAAAAAACCAACCAAACAGAATCCCCCGTTTCCTGACCATTTTTTCTTCAAGATAATAGAGAACCACATGTGGATTATCAGCAATGTTTTTTTGTTCATCTTAGTGAACTTGCCTGCTGTCTGGCACTCTTACACCATGTCGGGTTTTTCAGATCAAGTTGTTTGCTACTGTTGATCTGTTTTAAGTTCCGTATGTTAAGAGAGGCATTTCAACACCCTTTCAACAGATGTTTTGGAATCCTTAATTTGTCCCCCTGTGTTACCATATAATTAATGTATTTGAATACAAGTCTGGATACTTCTGCTGTTATACCTGTCTTTCTAAAAGGTTCCATGTGGTGTACAGCAAATTTTTGCGAGGTTATTTTTATTTCTGCCACATATTCCATGTGTCTTGTTCTAGGGGTTTTTTTTAGGAGTGGACCTTCTAACAGTTTTTTGTTTGGATGAGAAATTAAATTTAAGTATCTCCAGTGTGAGGAGTTGACAATTACTTGAGTGTCATTAGGCCTCCACTAAGAGTTGGAGAGTCCTTTTTTGTGCCATAGTAATCATTTTTAATTCATACTCTTTTCATGAAAAGTGGTTTGTCTTGTCCTTACTGAACTGCCCAAATAGCAGCATTCACTTGAAATGTTGATGTGGTATCCAGCAGACTTACCACAGAATCATTTTCTTCCATTTTAATATTCTCCCCTTATGCTTTTATTATTAGAAATAAAAAAAATGACTTTTAAGGAGCACATGGTTCATATGGATTAGAATCACCTTTATCATTGAAAAATAGCTGTCACAGTTGCTGAGATTTAGCTTTCACTCTTGTATCTACTCATTAACCCTGAAACAATATAATTCCTGTCTTTGTCTTCATTCTCTTGAAATAAACAGTACTTGCCAAGAGGTGTTCGACTAAATTCATGTTTGGAAGTTCCTAAGCAGAATAAAGAACAAATTAAATTTGACCTTCATTTGAGTATTTCCGTATTGGTGGTAGTGGGAAACAGTTGTCATCTTCCCCAGTCACATCATTGAATGATGGAAAACCACTGCTTAGTTGAGCTGACAGCCACATTTTCAAGCTCCTCTATACAGAAATTTAACAGGTATGCAAATAACTTTGTAGAAAGAAGTGAAGATTGTTTTACTACATCTCATCTCTGTGAGCTTTTTTTACTGCTCATTTCTATGTTAATAAAAATATTTAGTTCTTTATTTTAGCAAGAAAATATTTATTGCATTTCAAGAAATTATGAAAACTTTAATTCTGTCAAGATTAATATAGAAATATGATTCAACTTCCACGGTATTGATCATGTATGAAAGGTACATTATTTACTAGAGTAAGCAACTGTTTGCTTTTCTGCATTTTTAAAATGGTTATTTATGGCTGTTCTTTACTTGAACTCCCATAAATCAAAAAAAGTAGCATTATCAAGGGCAAAAGTCTCCTTTTTAAAATGCTTGGGTCACTAACATAGCTTGACAGTCTTATTTACGAGTGTGTCCTGGGTTCACCTGCTGCAGTCATTTATTTTTTTTTTTTATCCTTCTTAATAGCTGGTACAGTGCTATGGTTTTGACTTTGAGCCTGGGATCAACGCTGATAACACCGATGTTTTTAGTTGTTGCTAAGTAATGTTTACTTTAAACAAGGACTTCCTTAGTCTCATGCTCTGCCAGGGAGGAGGGGAAGTTGTGACAATGCAGAGACAGGACACCTGACCCAAACTAGCCAAAGGCATATTCCATACCACAATACATCATGGCCAGTATATAAACTGGGGGGAGTGAGTGAGCAGCTGTGTGGTTCTGAGTTACCAGCTGGGCTTGAACAATGATAGAGTAGAATAAAGAACTCTATATTATACCTGAAAATACAACAAATACAGGACATGACTAACAGAAGAGAATCAAATCTAAAAATTAAAGATTTGTCAAAAAACATTGTGCTAGCAGGTTAGAGAAGCAAGAAGTGAAGGGTGCCTCCTGAGCTTGAGTCTGATACTGTATGTCAGGAAGAGATTTTTCTCCCTAATAACTAAAATGAAATTTGATCTCCTGATATTTAGGTTTTTAATTTCTTTAATTTCATGGCATCGTAGAGTTATTTGTGTTAGAAGGCATCTTACCTGCTCATACTTCATATTTTTAGCTGAATATTTTCATTGGCTTTACTCAGAGGATTTGAAAGCAGTGTGAACTTGATGGCCATCCCTTTGCCTTGTGTTTTGTATTGTATTAAACCTTGGCTTTGTTTGCAACATTTTTTACTCAAGTGGTCTGTTTGGGTCTTCTGGCAGTGTAGACATGATATGATCAAGCCCAGGTGAGGAGTTCCACATATATCTTGCACTTTGCATCACATACACATGCTGCATCACATTAAAGTATTTGAAATATTTTAACATATCACTGTTATGCAAGGTTGATGGTGTCTTCTCTTAGTAACGTCTCTGAATATGTGTGTAGGCAGAGACTTGAGTGTAGACAGAAGGAATACTATGGATTAGTCTGGAATGGGTGAGAGTAACAAAGTGCTGGAAATTAGGGCACAATGTGAAACTGGGAGGAAGAGGTGTGACTACAGGAACTGTGAGCGGCTAGCAAAGACTATCAGCAAGAAATGCTGCAGCCCAGAAAGCCAGTTGTATCCTGGGCTGCATCAAAAGGTGCGTGACCAGCAGGTCGAAGGAGGTGATCCTGCCCCTCTACTCTGCTCTTGTGAGACCTCACCTGGAGTATTGTGTGCAGTTCTGGTGTCCTCAACATAAAAAGGACATGGAACTGTTGGAACAAGTCCAGAGGAGGGCCACGAGGATGATCAAGGGGACTGGAGCACCTCCCGTATGAAGATAGGCTGAGAAAGTTTGGGCTGTTCAGCCTGGAGAAGAGAAGGCTGCATGGAGACCTCATAGCAGCCTTCCAGTATCTGAAGGGGGCCTATAGGGATGCTGGGGAGGGACTCTTCATTAGGACTGTAATGATAGGACAAGGGGTAACGGGTTAAAGCTTAAACAGGGGAAGTTTAGATTGGATATAAGGAGGAAATTCTTTACTGTGAGGTGGTGAGGCACTGGAATAGGTTGCCCAGGGAGGTTGTGAATGCTCCATCCCTGGCATTGTTCAAGATCAGGTTGGACGAGGCCTTGGGTGACATGGTTTAGTGTGAGGTGTCCCTGCCCATGGCAGGGGGGGTTGGAACTACATCATCTTAAGGTCCTTTCCAACCCTAACTATTCTATGATTCTATGAAGAGCAGTGGAACATAATAAATTTAGTAAAGGACATATGTATTCAGAAGGCTCTTAATTTTCATCCTTCAGTGTTGTTCTATAGAGCTGTGGCAGTTGTTACTAAAATGGAGAATAGGACTGGATGTGTACTTTCTGGAAGCATCAGTTCTCTTATTGTGTTGGGATGGGGTGGGGTAATTCAGTTGAGGTATTGCCCACATTCACCAAATGGACACATCAGTTCTTGTGGTATAGAATCTGAAATGCTGTAAAACATTTCTTTAGTGATAAGGACCACTGAACATTTTGTTTAATTTGTTGGTTTTATTTTGTGTAACTGAGACCTGATTTGGAAAACATTTTCTTTATATTGATACAATGCAGTTATTGGAGTGAAAAATTGCTTTCAGATCTCTAGCCCAATGCTACTTCTTGAAAGAATTTTCAAAACACTGGTACTTATGTATCCAAATGATTCCCGCTGTGGGCAGACTGGATTATACCAAGCGTAAAATTTGACCACGTTGTTCTGATTATATTTTACAGAACTGGGGAAGAGGCATAGCTGTCAGCTTCCCCTCCTTTTCTCTGAATGTGAGGGCTTTCCTCAGGGTAATGTGTAAACATCAGGAGAGATGCAGCACACTGTGAATGGAGTAGCTCTGAAGAAACTGCAGTGCATTTTAACTGTGTTTACTGAACAGTGATAATGGAGAGTGCTGTGGCTTTATCTCCTTAAATCTCCCTTTGGTGTTTCTGAACAAAACAGTGAAATAACATATACACCCAGAACTGTCAAATACAGAATGAAAGAAACCAAAGGAATCATTTACTGAAAGAGCAGTAAATACTTGTGCTGCTTATATTAGAAAACAGGTAGTTTTTAAAAACTGGTTTAAAAATAGTAGTGACACTTGAAATAGCTAGAATTTGTATCTGCAGTCTTTCAGTGCTTTGTAATCCTTAGAGACCATATCTTTTCCCTTGTGAGTCTGAGAAATACTGTCATCCTAGAATATAGAAAATACAAAAACTACTTAGGAAGTGAGACACAAACTCAGCGTGTTGTCTAAGACCACCCAAAATAACCTGCACAGAGGAGCGAATTCAACTAAGGATTCTCTGGGTCTAAGCTTGAGTTGTAACAATTAGATAATCCTTTGGGCTCCAGTTCTAGCACTGCTCATATCTTCCCTATTGTTCTTCCCCATTTTTTCTGGGAGGGTGAAATGACTCAGATGGTATTGGTAACTCTCAAACTGACAGACTTATTTAATGCTTGTAAAGTTCTTAATATTTCCTATCTGAAAAACTTCACAAAGGTTAAAGTAAATGTTTTTATGGCCAAGTTGATATCTTAATACCATAATTGAATTTGTGTAAATGTATTTTAGGTGTCCTATGTGATTAGAGATGAAGTGGAGAAGTATAACCGAAATGGGGTAAATGCACTTCAGCTGGATCCAGCCTTAAATAGGCTCTTCACAGCAGGACGAGACTCTATTATAAGGATATGGAGTGTCAATCAGCACAAGGTAAGTCATGGGAGGATTCCTATGTTTAAATCTACTTTTTTCCAATTATCATGCTAGTCAGTTGCCTATAGGTATACATCTGGTAATGTTTCTTTAACAGCTGCCAATTAGTGTAATAGGAAAATCATTTTGCTATTGCTCATACTGTGATATCTTACACAGTTACGTAGTTCTTTCACAAAAGAATTCTGGAATAGTGACTTCAAGCAACTCTGCATAGGCAACTTCTGACCCATTTGAAGGTTGAAGAAAGTACCACAGTAGGGTCTCATAGTCACAATCTTTTCCAGTTGCAATGAGATTTTATAAACTACTTTTTCTTAATTTGCAGCAAGACCCATATATAGCATCTATGGAACATCACACAGATTGGGTAAATGATATTGTGCTCTGCTGCAATGGTAAAACATGTAAGTACTTAAATGTTTGAAAACTACAGTATTCATAAATTGTGTATAACAATATATTATTTGCTGATTTAATGGTTTTCCATCTTCTTTTAGTATAATCAATTTGTGATGTATATTGTAAATTTGATAAATAGTGTAAGCAGGCGTTTTTAATGAAGAATTATGTGTATAGAAGTGATTCTTTTAATCTTTTTGAAAAGCATGTTGGAGTAGTACAAATATGCTCTAATATATAAGCCATTAAAGTTTACTCTTTATTCTTTCCAATTTAGTGATATCTGCTTCTTCAGATACTACTGTTAAAGTCTGGAATGCACATAAGGGATTTTGCATGTCAACACTAAGGACGCATAAGGTGAAAAACATCTTTAAATACTGTGTGTTATCACTGGCAGTCTTTTAAATATTAAGATAGAGACTTTAAATGGATAATGTTGTTGATTCATATTGTCATATTTACTTTATTGTAGGATTATGTGAAAGCCTTAGCATATGCAAAAGACAAAGAACTGGTAGCATCTGCTGGGCTGGACAGACAGATTTTCCTCTGGGATGTAAATACTCTAACAGCACTGACTGCCTCAAATAACACCGTAACAAGTAGGTATCTAGGGAGGGGAGGCAAGCAATGCATTTTACTGAGCAGTATAATCTGAGGGATCAGTTTAAAACCATAGATACCTGTGTGTACACAAAAAATGTGCAAAAAATTTTAAGGTCATTTTAGCATATAATCAGTCCATCTGTTGTATTCCATAGTAGCTGAAAATCTAGAGCAGCCGACAGATGTACCATGTAGGACAGAGAGCAGGTCTCTAAACATATTCTCCTGAAATGTAATGTGCTGGTATTCTCTAACACTTAAGAGAGCTTTAGCTTGAGAAACAGTTTGCCTACGGTGTGTTCATTGCTTGTAAATAGGTTGGAAAATGAGTTCAAAGTGACTGATCTCTTTCGTTTTATACTTAGTGTTGGATGCATGCTTAAAGAGTAGCAGAGGCTCAGATGTATGCATTAGGAAAGAACATGCTATCTTACACTGCCACTTGAACTTTCTTAACAAGACTACTTGCTTCCTAGGTTAGGAGTGTCTGAGGAAAAATCTGCAAATCTAAAATTTGGGATTGGCAGATACACTTCTAAGAAATTTCAGGAATATGCGATTGTGTAAATAAGAAGCAGGCATATAGTTGTTTTGATGTGGTTTTTTTGAATTGAAGTTTTGGCTAATTCTGAAAGGTGTATTAATTTTATGGATTTGGTAGGTTCTAAAACCAAAGGTGCATCTGATAGGTTGAACTGTCAGGTTTGCTTTTGTTCTCTCTACAGGACGATTTTAATTTTTAATGCTGGCATGTCTGGGTAGGCTTCAGAAGAGAGATGGATTCTAGCAAGCTGTGTTGCACTGCAGGATTGTACTGGGATAGCACATGGTTGACATAACTGGATTAGATTTACCTTATCTTTCCCAGAAGCTTTCTTTCACAGAAAGTAGAATTATCACCAAATTTAGCTAAGTGCAAGTTATGCTAATTTCTGGTTGAACAGGGAGTTTTTGAAGGAAGAATGCATTTGTTGGCTCACAGGAAACCTCAGTTATAGGGAAGGGGGGAGGGAGATTTCATGAACACCGCAACAGTGATACAGAACCTAAATGATTCAAGTGAATCATAAATGGGAGATGGTGAGTGCTGAGGAACTGTTGCTTGTTTTGAGCCCAAGATCAAATGGAAATGGAGACATTACCTCTAAGATGATAGAAATAAATTTTCATTTCTTGAATTAAAACAGTAATCTTCATAAGGGGGAGGAAAGGAAAGCAGGGGAGTTGTTTTTCTTTCTTTCTAGTGCTCCCAACTAACAATATTTCTGTTGAGAAGAACATGTTCTATGTCCTTAAAGAAGCTGGTTTTCCTCAGTCCTTTCAAATATTGATTTTTTTCAGAGTGCAAATGAAGATTGTTTTGTGCATTAATTTCCTGTCTGATTACAGGGAAGTAATGTACGCAAGCCAGCATTAAAAAGGAGCCTATTTTTAAAGAGCCTCTCAGTCAGCATAGCCATAATAATTTTTTTGCATTTTTTTCAGTATTTTGCTTTTGAGAGGTAGTCCCTTCCAGGAAAGGGTGGAGTCAAGCTTTGCTTTTGTTCTGGCATAAATTGTGCATCTGTAGACTTAAAATTCTCTCTTCCATTTCTGATGTTCAGTTTATAATAACTGTACATTCTTTTCATAAATTATTATCATTGTTGAACACTGGGCTAACCTTCAAGAGTTTTCAGTTCTGCTTTATGCCTTCAACTGTCCTCTGGGGACAGTGAAATACTATCACTTTATTTTGGCTACGAATAATAGATTACATTTGGATAGCTGTAGCTAGTGGTTAAGAGGACCCTGAAGTAAAGGTGCATAATTCTTCCACTCTGACAAAATGTTTATGATATTAAGTCACAAATGCTGTTGTTAGAAACTTACTTCTATAATATACATAAATGATTATATAAAGGTTCACATTTTTGCTGGCAATACAGTTTGTTGCTATTCACAGCTTTTTTGGCATACCAATTGTATGGGTTTGAGGCTTATTGAGATGGTGCTTTCTGAATACATGATTTTCATTGCTGCGTTTGTGCTTTTCCCAGTTGAGGGATTGGTGCATTACGCTGTCCAAAAGTAGATTAGGCTACATGGCCCAGAATTCCTCAGCTCTGGTGGTGGTTGTGATGCTAAGGAGTTGCCATATGGTTTTCACAAATGCAGAGGTAGCATCCGTGCTCAAGTAACACATTTCAGTACTGCAGTGTAATTTCGGTAATGCGTCTCTGCTGAACTAAGAGAAAAGCATTTAATATCTAATGTAGAATCATACTGCTGCTTGGCTTGGAAAAAAAATACCTCTGCACTTGCATCCAAATGAGATGTAATATAAGATCACATAGAAGTATAATTCTCTAATAAAGTAGTTGAGAAGAGCAGCAGTACCTTGATGGTCCTGGCACTGTATTGTGGTGCCAAAAGGTTACAACGACTGTAATTACCATAAGTCTGAGGGGTTCCTTTGTTTTTATGTAGCAGTAGATTAAGAATTGGGATGGGGTTTTCCTAGCAGTATGCTGTGTACAGTCTTTCTTAAAGTAGCTGTATATATGAGGTATAGTGACACTATTTCCATGGATCAAAGGGCATTAAAATACCCTAAAATGCTGTGTTTTAAGTGAAGAAGTATGTTTTTCATATGACAGCATTAAGATTGAAAATGTAAATTTTATTTTGAAATAGCTTCTTCCCTGAGCGGGAACAAAGACTCAATCTACAGCCTTGCAATGAATCAAATGGGAACAGTTATTGTATCAGGGTCCACTGAAAAGGTAAGCGAAAGTCTGGTAAGGCTAATTCTATTTCAGTTCAAAGTTTAGTACAAAGAGGCAATTTTATTCATTTTTTCAATGTCATGTCTGTAGCAGCTGTTGTGGTTTTAATAGTGAGGATAGACACTTTTTTTTAAGTGGGAGTGTAAGTGTAGGATACAACTACCTACCTCAGTTTGAAGACGTATATATATCCATCTAGCTTTAATACACAGAAGAGACAATTAGATCATCTTGTGTAACCTCCTTTCTACCATTTCACCACAAGAGATCTGACTGGGCTGGCACATTACTGAGATGATTATAAAAACTGAAGCAGCTGCCACAGGTAAGAAGAAAGTGGTGCCAGCAATTTGTAAGATCCCTGCAGGAACTGGGAAATGAAATGTGATGATGAAGTTCAAGTGTCCCTAAGAGACAAACCATGCTGTTTGTTGTAAAGGAAGGTGAAATGCCCTGAAGTTCCTGGCAATCTAATTTTTTACCTAATCTAACCTTGAGATAATCCTGTTTCCAGTCACTTTCATTCTTTAATTTCTTAGGAAGATAAAAAAAGCCATAACAAAAGAAAATAAAATCAAGCAAAGAAAATCACATCTGATTATTAGAGGTTCATAAAATGTAGTTATGTACCTCTTGTTTTAATGAAGTATGTTTTCTGTGATGGATGTCTTTCTGTTCAGGATAAGTGTCAGTTTATTCAGAAAGGCTTAATTTTCTGTAGAGAAAGTGCACTGGTGGGAAGAAGGATGTTAATGCCAGTTATCCAATGTCTGTTTATGTAGGTTCTAAGGGTGTGGGACCCGAGAACTTGTGCAAAACTAATGAAACTCAAAGGGCACACAGACAACGTAAAAGCGTTGTTGTTGAACAGAGATGGCACACAGGTATGTGCTTTAACTTGAGACAAAGGCATTTTACAGAATACAGAAATGTCATTAGTCTTTTTTGATATAATTGTTTTATACCATAGATTACTTATTAAGTTACATTTTGTATTTTACAGATTATTTACAGAATATTGTAATGATTAAGGGAGGGAGGCTGGTGGGTGAAAGCTCTAATGTATTACAGGGTCCATCTAGCAATGGAAGGGGTGACTAGAGTTATTAACTGCCAGGCTTTATTTAGCACCGTCTTAATGGAAAAAAAACATAAGAATTATGAAAGCTGTTTGTGAACAAAATTATTTCAGAAGATTTAAATACCCACTTGATCTAAGTATGGTGGTTGTTGCTCAGTGTCTTTCAGGCAGCTCTGATGGGACTATCCGCCTCTGGTCCCTTGGGCAGCAGAGATGTATAGCCACATATCGAGTCCATGATGAAGGTGTCTGGGCTCTGCAGGTCAATGAAGCCTTCACTCATGTTTATTCAGGAGGAAGAGACAGGAAGATTTATTGTACAGATTTACGAAACCCTGATATCCGTGTCCTTATCTGTGAAGAAAAGGCACCAGTTCTTAAGGTAATTGAGTTTACTTCAGAGAATCACAGGATGGTTGGGGTTGGAAATTACCTCTGGAGGTCATGTGGTTCAACCCCCCCTTGCTCAGGCAGGGCCACCTAGAGCCAATTGCCCGGTACCATGTCCAGACAGCTTTTGAATATCTCCAAGGATGGACACTTTGCAGCCTCTCTGGGCAACTTGTTCCAGGGTTTAATCATGCTCACAGTATTAAAGTGTAATTGTATTGCATGTTGTTTAATAACGGCTTGAGGTATAAACTGATAGAATGTATATTGGGTAACAAGTGCACCACAGCTTCAGTGTATTGGCTTTGTCTCCTAAATTACACCTGAAGCCTAATTGTCTGAAGAAAATAAATGCTTAGCAGCTACTTAAAATATGCAAATTCAGATATTACTGAAATTGAATATGCTATAGACATGAAAAGTTGTTTTTAGCAGACTAGTACAGTTTTAAGAAATTAAGCTGGCAATGCCAAGGCTTTAGACAAAAATGGATGTTTCTTAGCAGTAATGTGTATGCACAGGACTGTGTTAGAATATGTTACATACTCATAGGAACCAGTGGTAAAATTTATTGTGGGTTTTTTGAACACCTAAACATGCAGTTTTCTTAACTGGAGAAAACTCTATGCGGAAGTATGAGTCTTCTGAAGAGAATTCTTTTTGAATTTTTCCTTATTTTGCTGTCTGTTAAGTAGATGACAGGACCTTGAAACATGTAGGTGTATAGGGAATGTGCGATTGAAACAGATAGCAGTATATAAGCAATCTGTCTTTCCTTACGAGTAAAATTTGGCTTAGTATGTTCAAATAAAATCCTGGATATATTACTGTAGTTAAAGTCAGAATCTGAGAAATTGCAGTTCAAAATGGAAAATTAAACCTATGGTCAGCTGTACAAAGAACAAAGGGGGACTGTAATATACCAGCTACATTGATTTGGTTATTACTGAAGAAATGTAACAGCAGAGCCAAGTGTATAAAGGTCTGGTTTCTAATTGGTACAGAACTTAGCACGTTCTGGTTTTAACCATGTGAAGTATTTGAAAGCAAAGTAATTCAGAAAATATTGTATTTACCAAACTGTCCATTAGACGAGATTGCATCATGGTAGAAGCAACTTTAGATACGGGGTGTTTAGACACATTGCATCTACTGTTGTTCTTGTCCAGAATTTATTTGTTGAATATTGGAAACAGTTTCCCTGGAATTTCAAAAATTGCAGCTTAGTTATTTGTCTTTCTAAAACAAGTTTGTATTTCTTTAGTAAACTGAAACTAGTGTTGTTTCTCAGATACATTGGAGTATGGGAGCAGGTGTACGCAGAACAAATATTAATTGAACAAAGGAAAATTAAACATGTCTGAAAGTATCTGTGGTTTCATTATTTAGATGGAGCTTGATAGATCAGCTGATCCTCCTCCAGCACTTTGGGTTGCAACAACTAAATCCTCTGTGAATAAATGGGTAAGTGGTACAGTTTAAACCCTATGAATTCAATTAAGTAGTCATGGGATTTGCAGTCTTGTTTTTGGGAACTGTTGCTTGCAATTTCACTGTGACTTGCTGTGGTCTTTAAGCTTTCTTTTAAAAAATCAGGAACTGTGACTATTGAAATTGATCAAAAGACATTACGCTTGTAATTACTTCCTTTGCTATCTCTTTGTGCTGCTTTTAGAACTAAACTATCTTGCTTAGAACTGGACAGTTAACATCTAAATGGCAATGTGAACTGGCAGTTGTCACTCACAGATAAAAGCAAAGTCTATAGATTATTATGTATGTATCTATTTTGTTTCTTTAGACTTTGAAGGGAATTCATAATTTTAGAGCATCCGGAGATTATGATAATGATTGTACCAATCCCATACCGCCCCTGTGTACACAGCCTGACCAAGTTATAAAAGGTAAACAGCTGTTTTCCAGAGTACCTTATAAAATCTGTTATCATTAGCAGAACTGGTGGATCTTTAAGATGGGGTGAAGTTTTTAGGTACTTGATACTATGATTTCAGCCAAAATAAAGCCAATGTAGTTATCATTGATCTAGTGCTAGTTACAGTTAAAATAGTGCTTAAACCTTGGTGATACCCAGATCTTACATAAAATAGTGAGACCAAAGAACAGTCACACATATTGTGTTATACACCTTAATTTAATGTAATATTCTAAAAAAATAAAATCACTGTAGTGACCTTAATTCTTGTTTGCTTGCTAGGGGGTGCTAGTATTATTCAGTGCCACATTCTTAATGACAAGAGACACATATTAACCAAAGACACGAATAATAATGTGGCATACTGGGATGTCTTGAAGGTAAGTATATAATTTTAGATCGTCTACTGTTGGATGATTAATTATTTTGTGCCTCTATTATATATTTTTGTGTGTGTGAGAAAGATTCCTTTGGTAGAAAGGAAGCAATCTTTCTATTGCTAGACACAGCAATGCAAAAATTGCTTTTTAAAAGGAGATGGGGCATTTCTGAGCTTTTCTGCATCTTTGCTTGATGTGAAGCTGACATTCAGTAAAGTACTGATGTCTTCCTTCACCTGAAATTCACCTTGAATTCTATCCCTGAAAACAGTGGTGTTTGGTTTGATCAGGTTGCGTTTCGAAGAGGGCTCATAGAGGCTTGTGAGCATGTCTACCCAGTGCAGAAAGAAAGCTTAGCCTGCAAAAGGGAAATGTGTGCTTCAGGTCCTCCTACAAACCCATACATCCCAAGTGAGTGTGCTTGGATTAGTCTGTGTATTATTCTGGGAGTGTGAACTTCGCATGTTCCTTGTTAGTTGGCAAGATAGCAGGCAGGAATGCAGGACTGACTGGAAGGAAGGTAGGCAGGAAGCATGGCTCCTGCCTGGTAAGAAGGGAGAGACTTGGCATGGCATTTTGGTATCTTGCTTTACACAGTGATTGATCAGAGGAGCGGGAAAAGCATGCAGAGAGACAGTACTGGGATCCCAGATCAGTGAGATGGTCAGCAATTTCTTCTCTTGAAAAATCCTGTTTGAAATTCTAAATATCTTTGCGTCTAACTATGCAGTTCTCCAGCCAAGATTCAGTTATGAAGTAAAGCACACTCAGCCAACTTGTATCAAGTTGCTGAATAAAGTGGGAAAGAAGGAAATTAAGTTGGAGAACATAGATTTGTACTAGAAGTTATCTAGATTACTTTTGTGGAAAAGTGAATAGCTTTTCTTTCGAATTAGAGTTATATTACAGTTATATATTTAAGTACAGTGTTAAATATCAGGAGCAAAGTCAAATGGTAATGTTAATTGGTACCTTCATTCAGTTCTTTTTTGTTAGTACGGCTTTCAGAGGCATCTCTTAGGCATGCTTAAATACATACTCACTTTATAGATGAGGTTACTTGACAGATCAAAGTGTTATCTTACATGTAGGATCACTGCACTCTAAAGCTGAGTCTCTTTACTGACGATGCTGGAAGCCTTTCTTACATGTAGCTACACCCTTCAGTCTTTCCTTCCTGTAACTTTTCCTGGATTTTGAGGAAATAAGTCTTGCAGGGTTACTATCTTTAGAGTTTGCTGTAAGTGTTCCAGTTTTCAGGATAAGTTTGCAAGTGGATTATGAGAGTTTGGATATTAACAAGCTTACTTGAGAAACTTTAAAAATAGAAGTACAAAATAAAACAGACAAATAAACTAAAACAGGCAAAAAGAATCTGCACACAGATTTACCCACTGCTGGTCCCATTGCAGTAGTTGAGCTGAATTTGTTGTGAGATTTGCAACAAATACTGGGTTGTACTGAAATATTGATACTAATGAGGAGAAGAATGACAGGGAATGCTAGAAGACAGCTACTCAGTGATAGGGAAAATGTTATTTGTTAATGTAATACCTCTCCACTGCCTCAGAAAGAAAGGATAAAACAGTAGAAATTACTGCATAAACTACTGTGCAATTTTTTGTGAGAAAAGTTTGAACCTTTCACTCATGCATTGCTGGACTACAGTACCTGTGGAGAAATCAGAACTGCATATGGAAGTCAAGTACAAGATCTGAGGTGGTGTTGTGACTCAGAATGTTGTGATACTCAGAATTTTAAAACTTGTACATTTCTTTTGCTGTACAGGCATGTAAAGTTGAAGACCTTGGGAAAGTAGATTTTGAAGAAGAAATTAAGAAGAGATTTAAAATGGTGTATGTGCCAAACTGGTTCTCAGTAGACTTGAAAACTGGGGTGAGATACAACTCTGAAATCTGTAGTTCTAATGTCATATTTCATATATTCTCATAATACTGTTTGTTCACAAATGTTTTAGTGTGTTACGAGTTTTGAGGAACAATCATCATTTATCTGATTATTTATATTTCCTTTGAAGCAAACCAGCAAATTTTACTTTAGTTTTTAATAAACTGAATAACAGATTTTTTTAAATTTTTGTTTTCCTCATGGTGTGGTCAGTTTAAATCCACCAATACCAATTATGAATTAATACAGCTTGGTAAACAAAGTGTGCTGTCATGCACATAGAAATTCTTTGGTTTTTATTCCCAGCTCAGTAATGAACAAAATAAATTTATAGGCTTATTTAATACAAAACAGCTATTGCATTCCTCTTCCTGGTGGTCTTTTCCCAACAGATGTTGACAATTACTTTGGATGAAAGTGACTGCTTTGCAGCCTGGGTTTCAGCAAAAGATGCTGGATTTAGCAGTCCAGATGGTTCTGATCCAAAATGTAAGTTTTAACTAATATTAGTGTTTTGAGACAAAGCAGAATAAAATCCACCATTTATGCTTATGTATTCCAGTGCCGCATATGCCAGTAGCTGCATTCTGCAGAGGAATTCTCCAGTGAGAATGTTTGCTTTTTTTGGAAAATTTTCAGTCAAGTTCAGGTTTTCTATTTAACTTAGTTTTAAACCTTCTGGAAGCAAAAAAGTGATATTCCTCAACTTGGAACTATTGCCTAATCTAGAGAATATTATAGCAAGTAAGTGATCCAACAGTAGTGATTCTAAAATCAGCTTTTTCTGAAAGATTATAACATATGGCTTTGAGATTTTCTGTGCCCATAAATAGTTTGTTTTGGGAACAGAGCCGCTCAGACTTTTGGGAAAGTTTTAATCTGTGGATCAGATGTAGAATATTATGCCATCGGTTTTTACATAACTGGAAGTTGTACCTCACTATGTCTTGACAGTAAACCTTGGAGGGCTTCTGCTACAAGCACTTCTGGAATATTGGCCTAGGACACATATCAATCCAATGGATGAAGAAGAAAATGAAATAAATCATGGTTGGTATTTTAATATTTTCCTTTTTTAGGATTTGTTTATATGTTCGGTTTATATTTCTTGTCTCTGCATTACAGACTAATGTTTTCTAAGTTCTTTTAATTTAGTTTTTCACCAAAATTTGCTAAGTAGTTTTCTTCTTCTGAAAGTATCAGCAAAAATCGTAGAACTCTAGTACATTGAAAACTAGGCGAACAGATGATTCTGAAGTTACAGAAACATAATGTCTTGATGAAAAACAATTACTGGCAAAACTAAGGCTTGACTTGGGAAAGAGACAGCCTAGATAATGACAGCAAAGAGTTGTTATTCAGTTAGTAAATGTTAGCCACTGTTTGACATAATTCCACTTTGCTTCTAGGCATTATGAGCAATATAAAATAAAAGGAAAATTTATTGTAGAAAATATATTCAGTGGGTAATAGGATAGTACATAGAGAAGGTCTATACAATACCACCTTTGACTGGTGTAATAATGCTGAATCTAATCCTGTATGAAATAAAAAGCATAGCTCTGTAAGATACAAGATAGTGGCAGAGTTGGGCAGAATAATGGAGACTGTCTAATTCTTAAATTTGAAATTATTTAAACCAAGATCAGTTTTGACTAAAAAGTCTTGGTTTTGGTGATTAAAAAATGACTTTCTACAGATAAGGCGATTAGAAAACTGTAAGTTCAGCAATATCTTGCCTTTTTGTGGCAAAGATTGTGCCCAGAGTTAGTTTCCAAAATGAACTCTGTGGTGCGTTACAGCACTTGGCAGGCTCTTCTGGACAAAGTTGCTGATTCTTACAATTCTGTGTATTGGCACTCTACATCTTGAGAGCCAGACAATATATGAGAAGTATAACTCACAGGATTTTGCATTGTTGGAACACTGATGCTACACGACTTATTTCTGTGAATAGCTGTGGAGTAGTGGAATGTTTAGAATATTCACTACAGAATCAGTCTTCATTTTCCCTTTCAAAAGGAACAATTAAACTGATGCTGAACAGTGACTTAAGAAGATAACACTGTTGGACGCTGAAATTTGTGTAAAGACAAGAACTTAAATATACACATATATACTTACATACCCTTGTGTACATATGTATATATATATGCAGTATTTATCCTGCTCTGAACAGCTGCTCTCTGAACAGTGGTTCAAGAGGTGCATAAATAATGCTGACTTTTCTTCAATCTTATCCTATCCATCTGATGTCAAATGAGGTTCTTCAGTGTTTGAAGACCACGCTGCTATAACTAGCTAAAAATACATTGAATTTAAAATGCAATGACTTGAAGGAAACACGAGTCTGAGTTTTACTAGTACGCTATTGACATCTGGCAAACCCAGGTAGAAGAGCAAAGCTAACATCCTTCCGAGTTTTGTACTGTCAGTGTGGAGGGGGAAAGTAGTCTTGTCTCAATGGAATCTCTTTAGTTGATTTCTAGTATTAATACTGTTCAGTTTGACAAATCCTCAGTATCCTGTTAAGGAACTGGAGAAAACTAGCAATCAGGTTTTGGCTCGTGAGCTCAATTTCCCTTTTCTCAAAGTCTTTTGAAATATGCCTTCACAAACTGGTACTGAACTAAGGTACTCTCTACTGTTCCTTTTACATATACTTGCTGTGCATTGGAAATGGAGATTTTCTTGGATTTTATGAAGCTTATGGTTTTGTTAATTTATGAAATATGTTAGCTGTAGGTGGAGAAAACACTCTTTGGTCTATGTATACCCAATTTAAAGGCCTAGTGCAGTCTCATTGATTTTTTTTTTTCCAACAGTGAATGGTGAGCAGGAGAACAGAGTCCAGAAAGGAAATGGATACTTTCAAGTGCCGCCACATACCCCAGTTATTTTTGGTGAGGCTGGAGGACGCACCTTGTTCAGGTAAAAAAGCTCAAGAATGTAAATTCAGTGGCTACATAAAACTTCCTTTGTGAAAGCAGAAACATTATAAAAATGGAATACTTGCATCTGTTCCGTACTATACATTCAAGATATGCCCTTGACAGGCAAAATAAGCAGCTGTAAATGGTAATTTTGCATCATCCAACTGAACAAGTGAGTTTGAGCATCAGCAAGGTGTGGGGTTTTACAATGGTAAGAGCTGTATATTGTTCTTAATTGTATGCCAAAGCGTTGAGCTCTTTTTGAGTGCCTTCTTCTTGCAAACTGACTAACTGAACTTTGTTCTAGAATGAAATTGTGCTACTTTTGATTCTTGTAAAATTTCTCTTATGGGCCTGTTGTACTGGTCTTTGAGCATTAATGACTCAAGCAGTAGAGTCCTGCTTACTAGAGAGTTGGTTTCCGTTACCCAAAGCCCTTGACCCACTAGAAGGTCCTAAGCTCTGGCAGGTAAGAGCTCAGGATCTGTCTTTTCATTCTATGTTGTAAAGCCTAACTGTGGTATATGATGCATCTGAGACAGTTTAATAATGCTGTAGAACACATGCCAAGCTTTCATATAGCGTGAAGCATTTTGTATTTACTGATATAGTGGATTTTAAATTTGAGGGGTAGGGGTTGTTTCTCTGGCTGAATAGGCCTGAAAACTCTGTAACTTTCAGTCCATGCACTGGTCTGTAAAGCAGGGTAACATTTTGCAGCTTTGAGAACTGGTGTTTTCTTCTGCAGTATCAACATATTTACGTCATAGCTGGGGCTTAATATTTGCATCCATTCTGTATCAGTGGATCTTAAGTCTTCTATGTTTGGCTCTCAAGAGAACACTGAAAAGACACTATTGGAGGAAAAGCCATGTTTATTGGGTCTAAAAGGTGGCTTGCAGAGCTCTGACAAAATACCTAATTGGGCTTTATACAATTAATACATGGCTTTTTTTCCCAACTGCATGTGTGCATTTGTTAAAATTGATTTTATTCTTTTCATTTGGTGAGGGCTTAGCAGACACTTTACATGCAAAGCTCATTTTTCCCAAACAGAAAAGAACTGCTTTATGTCATGTGCCTTTCTCAGTTTTTGACTTCAACACACAAACATACAATCTATGAGCAAAGTAGCGTTTTACTTTTTAAATTCCTCTGTGCAATAGCTTATAGTCTTCTGAAATGCTTCTCCATGTTTCTGCTGCATGGATCTGTCTTTTTCCTGCAGCTACTTTTTCTGGTCTTTACAGACAATACGTGATCACTTCCTCAATAAAGTGGATGATGTGAAGGGGTAGCTAACCAAGTTCACACTCCCTGCCCATTAAAAGGGCAGATCCTCTCCTGAAAGCTTTTTAATGCACATTACAATAATTGTTTTCATTCACAAAGGTTATTTCTCTGTGGTTTAGGTTATTATGTCGGGATTCAGGGGGTGAAACTGAATCTATGCTTCTTAATGAAACTGTGCCACAATGGGTAATTGACATCACTGTAGATGTAAGTATCTTATGTGGATTTTGCTTTTTTTATTGGGTTACTTGTGTTGGGTTTTGGGTTTTTTTTGAGGTGAACAACTTTTTTTTAATTGTACAGGATCTGAAATGTCATTTTATGTTTTGCTCTGTATTTAAAATAAGTGGTCTCAGGGTCTTTATTCGAGACTCTTTGAGATGCATTGCTTTTGATGTGTCCAGTTACGGTATTTTTGCTTGCTTTCTTTTGAGAGAAAATCTTGGAATTCAAAGCACTGTGTATAATTGGTATCCTTTTCAAGTGTGGAGCCCTGGAACAGAGAATACTCTTCATATAGCTGCAGTCTTTTGATACCATCTAATTTCCTTTGAAATAGATGATAATTTATATTCAAAAGCTAGATGATACGCGCATCATCTAAATTGAAGCATCTCAGGAGTATGAGTAATTTGGCAGTTGGCTGTGGTGGTTTTATGTTGATTAAGAATCTCTCTTGGGTTTTGATAATTAGGAGCTGAATATACTTCACATACCAGCTGGTAGAAACAGGAGCTGGTAACAGTTCATCCTAAATTAACACTTCTCAAATTTGTTTCCTTCTAGAAAAATATGCCCAAATTCAATAAGATTCCCTTCTACCTCCAACCTCATTCATCATCAGGGGCAAAAACTCTGAAAAAGTAAGTAATGCATATTTGACTCTCAAAACTGCAGAAAGAGAATTGCAAGCTCAAAAAAAAGAAACCAACAAAAAGCTGGTTTGCCAGAGAATCCTATTGTGCTTTGATGAATGTGTAGAAGTTTCTAGTTATTTAAGCAGCATCACTCCAAAGCTTTGAATTATATCAGAATATTTGAAAGAACTGGAGGTTTCTTTTAGGTTCCATGAGCAGTTGCTTAAGTTATGCTAAGGAATGTTTTAAGAACTAAATCCTGAAATTAGACTTTCTGTCTTTTTTGGTATGTAATCAGAAAACAAATGAATTTACAGATTATTACATTGATCAGAATGACAGTTTTATGTTTCCTATTGCTAACAGTGATAAATAATAGCTTTTTAAAAGGAAAAAGTACAAAATCTGCTAGTAAGGAACGCGAGACTGTCGGCCTGTCACATTAATTGTAACTGGGAGCTCTGTAGGTTGGAAGTCAATGCAGATGCTCAGCTATGAAGTCAATGTCACAGGCAGTTTGCCTACCACCACTTACACACAACAATTTTGGGTATTTTGCACAAATGCCTAGTTCCTCTTTAAGTCTTATTAAATTCTTCACATCAGAGACGTTTGTGAAAGAGGAGCTTCATTGGGTTTTTGTGTACATTGTGGAAAAACTGCTGCTGCTAATTACTTCAGAATGCCATTCTATTAATGTAGTAGGGGGAACAGTGTAGTCTTATTCCATATCCTTGCCCTTCTCTTACTAATCCCCTTCCTGTTGAATAAGGGTTGTGTGGAGTACTTTTCACCCAAGCTCTGATTTTAATTTGGTCTTTTGAGTATCTTCATAGAATCACAGACTGGTTTGGGTTGGAAGGGACCTTAAAGATCAGAGTTCCAACACTCTGCCATGGGCGGCAGGGATACCTTCCACTAGACCAGATTGCTCAAAGCCCTATCTAGCCTGGCTTTGAACACTTCCAGGGATGTGGCAGCCACAGCTTTGCTGGGCAAGCTGTGCCAGGGCCTCATTGCCCTCATGGGGAAGAACTTCCTTATATCAGACTTAAATTTAGACTGTTCCAGTTTCAAGCCATTCCCCCCAGTGTTATCCCTACATGCCCTTGTTAGAAGCCCCTCTCCAGAACTTCTCTTATAGGCTCCTTTGGGCACTGGAAACTGCTCTGAGGTCCCCCTGGAGCCTTCTCTTCTCCAGGCTGAACAAGCCCAGCTCTCTCAGCCTGTCTCCATAGCAGAGGTGCTCCAGCCCTTAGAGCATGTTCACAGCCTTCTCTGGACTCACTGCAAGCAGGTCGATGTCCTCCTGCTGTTGGGGCCCCAGAACTGAATGCAGCATGGTCTCACTTTTCTGAGTCTCTTCTGCTGTGTGACTCTTAGGATCAAAAGCTGTTATGGTGTTCTCCATGATCCTGATAATTTAATAGTAAACTTCTAATCTAAACAGCTTATTTGTCTACTTGTATAGTTTGCGATGGGTTAAGGTATTTTGAAGATCAGAAATACAGTCTCTTAAATTTTTTCCTGCCAAACTTTTATTTACCTTGTATAGAGACCGACTGTCAGCAAGTGATATGCTTCAGGTGAGAAAGGTGATGGAACATGTGTATGAGAAGATTATAAACTTGGATAATGAGTCTCAGACAACTAGCTCTTCCAATAATGAAAAAGCAGGAGAACAAGAAAAAGAGGAGGACATTGCTGTGCTAGCAGAGGAGAAGATTGAGCTTCTGTGCCAGGACCAGGTAAGTTCCTTGGGTGGTTTAGCCAAAACCCAGTGTCTAGCAATTAATTGGTTGTGAACATCTGAATACAGAGCTTGAAATATGCTTTAGATTATCTGTTACTTTTAAAACTAAATAGATTTCTTGACATCATGTTAATTTACTGCTGACACAAGTTCAGATGGGTGCAGATAGCTGGACTGAAGAATTTACATGGTATCACTGTTTTATTTGGTCTCACTGGTAACCTTTACAGGATTACTTGCTCATACATATGTCCATACAAATGGACTTAGTACAATTCCATAGAGTTCCATTTCTAGCATTTTTTGAATGTTTTGAATTCTACATTTATAGCAGAGTTTAAAATATTTCCAAAATGAGTTGTCTAGTAAGCGTAATAATTGCATGAAGATTAAATATTCAGAAGGTGGTGGTAATAAGCAATTATATGTTACATTGCTAAAATCTTTCAGTAATCAGCATCAGGTTTACTTGCTAGTTGAAAAACCTGAGCCCCATCTTAGATGACAGTCCACCCAAGGGATTGTTTTGCCCCAGCCCCAGGGTGTTTTATCTTTGGATTTCTGACAGTCTAGCAGATTTGTGGAATAAAAGATGAATTTTTATCATTTAGGTTTTGGATCCGAATATGGACCTTCGAACTGTAAAGCACTTCATTTGGAAGAGTGGTGGTGATCTGACGCTTCATTATCGCCAGAAGTCAACGTGAGGGGAGAAGTGGACCCAAGTGGTTACTTAAGTACCTGACCATACTGTACTGGTTCCAAGAGTAGTACTATAGAAGCCCACTGAACCCCTAAGGTAGATGAGACTTCTAATGACTCAGTATGGATGGAAAGTATACATTTAATTGAAGTGACTAATAGATCTGTAATATAGAGGAAAAAAAAAATCTGTATGACTTAAACTAAAGTCTGTCCTAGTCTCAGCCAATGAGATGGGAAATCCCTGAGTGGTTCATGTTGTGTGAGGTGTACAGAGAATGGATCATAATCCAGTGCAGACTTTTGCTTCCTCTTTTTTGCTTTTGTTTCTTTTCCAGAACATAATATCCTCACCTGCTCATGCTTGATCTGAAACCATTTTGGCTGTGTTAGTCACTGTGTTCACACTATAATTCAGAAGTGCACACGAGTTGGTTTTCTTTTTAGTACATTCCAGTCATAATATTCCTACAGTGATTTCTCACAGGTTACTCAAACATTTCTACCACTTAAAGAAATTTGGAGAAGAAAAACAAAAGAAACAAGTATTGCATATTTGAAAGGGTTGGCCCATTTAATTACAAGTGAAGGGTTAACAGGAGACTTGTTTTAATACTGCAAGGGAGTTGTTGCTTTGAGAGCTGTTGATGTGCAGAATAAGAACACTAGATACATGTTGTAGCAGGGTCAGTCCAATGATGCTGTTCATAAAAATAGAGTGAACATGCTTTGCAGCATCTTCAAGATTTCCTTTTAAAATCTATATAAGTACTTCCTGCACTGTGTCCTAGGTGTTCTGAAGACATGCTAGTCTCATTTTTGGTATCTGTGCTCCAAAACTTTACATGACATTTTGTTAAAACTTCAAACCATTCTGAAAATAACTTCCAGTGTTTAATGTTAAACTTTAGAAGCGTCTAAGTATATTTCATATTCATGATATAAAAATACTTATTCTTCTTTTCGGAAGTTTTATATGCAGTTGTTCTTTTGTTATAGATTTATGCAGATCTTCTTTTCACTGTTATTTCTATAAATCTGTGACTGTCATAGATTCATAGTAGTCTTTTTATAGAGTTTAACTTATTGGGGGGAGGGGGTAAAGGCATTTCAGCGTTGCGTGAGAAAATGTGGGGCTGTCCCAGAAAAACATTTGTAGCCAGAGCAAATTGCAAATCCTCATAAAGAAATGGTGTAAAAATGACTCTTGTCTGGAGCAGAAGCACAAGTGCCTTCAAAGGGCAGTATATTATTAAGAGTTTCTTTGGGAGACATACGCTCTTGCGCTTCCTGTATCTTGCTATCAAGATCTAGGTTGAGGACTAAAGAAAGTCCCAATAAATTCTATTACTGGAATTGTATTGGTCAAACAAAAAGTAAAGTATTTTTCCATTGTATTTTGTTTGAAAAAAATAGTCAAATCATTCCCTTCTGCACTCTTAACCTAAACAAAGTCACTGCTTGAACAAAAGCTATGGTTCACCACTAAGCTAGCATGTCTTTTTCCCCAGCTTTTAAGAGTCACTTTAAGTTTTTAATCCCCACTGCTGTGTATGCTCAGTTTGACACAATTGTGCTCTAACTGCACATTCGTAGTGATGTTTGTGAATTAAATGGTTAAACAGAACTGTAACCTTTATGGATAAATTGTGCTGACTTGTATTTATTAATAGCAAGGGCATATGCTTGTTCCCATAGGCACTGTTTGGGGATTTTTGGTTTTCTTTTTTGGGTTGTCTTGCTGTCTTGTTATACACATTGGAATTGCTCCCAGTGATTTTGGTTGAAATCGGCCAAGGTTGTAATTTTTCTTTTCTTTTTTTTTTCCTAATAATTTTGAAACACAGTTTCAGGAAAGATTGACAAGAATAGTCTGCAATGCAGGAAGGGTAAATGATGTTTCACAGTTGTATAGAATAAAAGGCTTTAGCTAAAATATTTTCAAGTTGTTTTGTGTATTGAATCAATTACGCAGTTTCAGAGCTTGGACCATTGCCATTGAATGGCTGCACTACACGGGAATTCAGAGTCCTTTGAAGACTCAACTAATCGAATGGCAGAAGAAATGGCAGGCCTTAACAGAAGTCCTTAAAGATGATCTTTTGATATGATTGGATATAAGAATTTAGCAGGCATGCAGACTTTCAAATGCAAACTCTGAGATTTTGTTGAGGTGGAGAATGTGCTCGAGTAACACTGTTGGCATGGGCAGTGTGAGCTTTTGTACTACAAAATGCAGAGAATCACAGAATGGTTTGAGTTGGAGGGGACCTTAAAGCTCAGCCAGTTTCAACCCCCTGCCACAGGCATGGACACCTTCTGCTAGACCAAGTTGTTCCAAGCCCTGTCCAGCCTGGCCTTGAACACTGCCAGGGATGGGGGAGCCACAGCTTCTCTGGGCAACCTGTGCCAGGGCCTCACCACTCTTACAGGGAAGAGCTTTTGCCTCAGCTCTCATCTAAATCTGCCCTCTGTCAGTTTAAAGCCATTCCCCCTTCTCCTGTCCTTGTGTGTCCTTGTAAAAAGCCCCTCTCCAGATTTCTTTTTGGCCTCTTCACGTACTGGAAGCTGCTGTGTTAAGGTTTCCAAGCAGCCTCATCTTCTCCAGGCTGAACAAGCCCAGCTCTCTCAGCCTGTCGCCATAGGAGAGCTGCTCCAGCCCTCAGAGTATCTTTGGCCTCCTCTGGACTCACTGCAACAGGTCCATGTCTTTCTTCTGCTGGCTTATCTTGGGAGCCCCTCAATGGAGTACTGAAGGCTCTCATGAGAGCGGAAGATAGAGGAACAATCCTCTCCCTTGAGCTGCTGGTGACGCAGCCCAGGAAATGGTTGGTTTCTGGGCTGCAAGCACCCACTGATGGCTCATGGTGAGCTTCTTGTCAACCAGCACCTCCAAGTCCTTTTTTTGTAGAATTGTGCTATCTGTAAAAGTCCTGAAGGCAAGACCAGGAGGGTCCCCTACCCAGCACTGAGGAGTTGATATGAGTCACAGCTCACCAGGACATGGGGAACAGAGTGAAAAGAGTTCACCAGAATCATAGGAAAGGCCACTGCTTTGTAGAAGTTTTCAAGTTCCTAATGGAAGGGAGTTGTAAATGTAGTATTTAGTGCTCTAACCTGTCTCCCAGAAAATTGTCTATGACAGGCAATCTCTTTTCGGGTGGGGTAGTGCTGAAAGCCAGGCTCAAGAGGTGCATCTGAAGTGCAAGAATCATTCTGGGAAGAACCACTTGAAGCATTTAGCATTAACTTCTAGAAACAGTAAAAAAACTACTCAAAGAGTAGCAGGAGATAATAACATAGTTCTACCTCATTGCCAAATGTTGGGAAAATGAGGGACTTGGGATTTATTAGTTTGAAGGTCCATTAGTTTGAGGGGTGGGAGAGTGGCAGCTGGGGGAGCATGTATGTGCTTCTCAGTCAGGCTGGAGCAGAGCACTGGATTGCTGCATGAAGAACAACCAGCTCCATGGCTCAGATCCTGCAAGAGTCAACCCATTGATCTGAGAGCTGCTGCCTCAGGAGGCAGGGATTTAGCCAAGGTGAATTAGCATGAAGGTGCCAAGGAAGGGGAGAGGATGTGTTCGTCAAAGGTGAAGGCTTAGACTGACTGCTAAGTCATGAATCCAGTTACTCCACACTTTGGCCATGCATCACACCAAAGTATTACTTTTTCTTTCACAGATGGTCCCATTTGATTCAAACTTTATCCCTAGAAGCTTCTTGAACTTGACATGCAGCGTAAGTCTTTAAGCACATGACCTTATTCTGGTAGGTGTGTGCTCCCAATGAGAGCCAGGTGGAGTCACCACCCTGCTAGACAGCAGGACTGTTAAAATACACACACACTTAAGCCATCGAGGAAGTGATTGACTGAAATTGTTTCCTGTACTATGGGGTGGAGGTTTTTCTGTAAGCAGCTGTGCAAACATCATGCAGATCAGAGGTGCTGGTTAGAGACTGGGTGGGATACATCCCATCTCTCCCTGAAGAATATTGTGATGCCATCATTCGCATGGGATTATGAATGCTGTGTTACTTTTTGTAGCTTAGAAAGGTAACGTAAACCAAAACCTTCCTTTTAAGGTGCTGTTATGACAGAACCAATGCAAATTAGTGTTTGCTTAAGGCAAAAGCAAAGAGGGAGGATGTGAGGATGTTAGTGGCAATGCCCAGGAAGCTGAACACAGATTAACACAGTAAAATCAAATGCAGCAAGTAACCTCTAACTGCTTTCACTTCACCGGAGGCAGCAGTACCTAGATGTCTGAATTGCTTGGAGGTGAAAACATTTGCCTGGTTATGGGAGAAGACGGAGAATGGGAAGGGTGATGAAGGGAATGATGAATTAAGGGCTTCTCCCTGGGAAGCTGCCTCAACTGCTTTCCATTTCTGCTAAACCCACAGTGCCGCAGCACAGGGGTGTGGGCAGAACGGGTCTGCTGCTTCCCCAGTTAGCGCTGGAAACCAAGACATTCAAATCAGCTTTCTCACTTCAGTATCCACCAGTAAACGAGTACTTTCTACTTGTCTTTGTTTCAGCAGAGATGTATCTTCAAGCAGCTCAAAAGCTAACATACAACTTCCCAAGAGAAAAGGAATTTGATGAGAGAGAAACAGCTCATTTTGCATTTAAACGATAAAGGCACAGGTTAGAATACAACATGCTGCTGCTAGAGGTTTAATGCTAGGTCCATGACCAAAGAATCAAATTTTCATGAACAGCTAAGACTCACCCCCTCTCCCCAGAGTCAGCTGACACGGAGCAGGGTGGATGCAGGTGTCCCAAAGCATTACACCATTTATTACTTTGCCATTTCAAATTTAGCGTAAGTTTTGACATTCTATGCTCTTAAATTTCCAAAGGGTGCTTATGGTACAGCAGCACTTAAATGAGCTACCACCAGCTTAGAAACACTCCTGGCAAAGGTGTAAGACTAGAAGCAGTCCTAAACAAACAACAACAAAAACCCAAAGAGAGCACCTAGATGTCTTCAGTCATCAGGCTCTGAGACCAAACAAACTTACCCATAGCTTCAATCACATTTATTTTTAGTGTTTGGCTGTTCACCCTTGTAGCAGGCAGTTGGGGAAAGAAAAGAGGAAAATCATCTTAGCAATATAGCAAAATGAAAATAATCTTTTTACTATTGAGTTTAAAATGTCTTCATTCTCCTACCAGAAGTTAGGACTTAATACATTCTTCTTTAAAGAAAAAGATATTTTGACCATCCTTTTCAGAACAACTGTATTTCAAGTGAAAACAGTATTTCAAACTAATGAGAGAGATGAGGAGATATAAAGGATGGATTTAATGTAAGGGCAGACTCCCCTGAAGATTGCTCTTGTGCTACACAAGCCTTTGGTTAAGCTGAGGTGTTCCAGGTAATCCCATGGGACACAGGCTTACTGTCCTGTGTCATGGAGTGGCATCAGCCTCATCACTCACTTCCCTGCCTCATCTCAGTAGAAACAGATTGCGACACAGGGTAGGGAAAAGGAAATTGGACAATATTGTGCTAAATAAGCATACTCCAACTTACATCTACCTTAAGCACCCACCTAACCTCGTACCCCATTCTCTTAATTTATGAAGGATTTTCACCACACTAACTGTACCAGCTCTAGTGAAGTTATTCCCAACTATCAACTTTAAAATTCCATTACGAATCACTCCCCTGAGGGGTATAAACCCACCCAGATTTCTGTTGTCATCCATTTTGTGTTTGCTATTACATTCAGAAGCTCTTTGGAGAAAAGTGCAAACAAAACAGCTATAAAAACCAATAGACCCAATAGACGTTGTTGCACGAATGTGTTCCCTCCCTGTGTCTTCAACTTAACGATTTGTATAAAAATAGCAATGGGTGAACAGAAAAGCACAACTAAAGAAAAGCTATTTCTGTCACTACAGAAACCACAACACATTCATGAAAAGGCTAATCACCCTGAAAACACAGACAACCACGTTTTTCACTTCAGTTTGTTTCAAAGAACCATGATGCTTCCCCCCACCTTTTCTTTTTAACTGTGAGACCAAACACATGATCTATGAAGAGCTGAAGTGAAGGACAGGCCCCATCAACCATGATTCTGTCCTCTCTATATGCTGCAACTGCAAACCACACAGTGCATCCTTTCCTGCAAAGGTATTGTAGAGATGGTACACAAATAACTGCTACAGCAAAGGGACTCTTAAACAAGGAAAGTAACAGTTTGCAGACTAATAAGTAGGAATCCCAGGGTAGGAAATGCCTTGAAAGGCACCAGAGCTGTCCCAGTGAGGTGTACCATTAGAAAAATCTTTCTTGCAAGTCAAAACCATCAATATTTTTAATGCCATCAATCATACTGAGAAAATCATCAATTGTCACTGTTCAGGCACGTGCAGGCAAATGTGACTTCAGGAACTTGACTTTTTGCCAGTCTCCAACTTGTTTCTGCATTAATTTCTCCATTAATTTGATTATTTTTGGACAGAGTTCCAAAATTTGAAGACAGATCAATCCATTAAAAAATAATTGGAAGAGATAACAGGATACGTACTTCATATGATTTCTTTCATAATACGTTAACAAAATAGAATGACTGTAATTTTTTCAGGATCAGAAAAATACTCCAAGCTGTAGTGTTACAGCACATGGCAGTCTGTAAACAAAACCAGCATCCACTTCACCTGTCATCTGGTATGCTTCTTTCTGTTCACATGCTGCTTCATCATCTGGTTACACCGGTGTAGTAGTTAAGGAATTCTTAATACTGTCGTGGAACCGTATAACTGCATCTTCAAAGGAACCAGTTTCTGCTGTTGTGTTTGAAGAGATTTCATGAGGAAGAGCTAAAGAAGGTAACGATGGAACTGAAGACAGCAGCTCATCCAACTCGGGCTGCTTGACTGAGCCTTCAGAACACATGGTTGTGTCTTCAGGGTCCAAAGCTGTGGCATTTTCTGGGAAATGGAAACAGATTGAAAAAAAAAACAAAACCAAACAAATAAACAAAACTTGTCAGTCTAATGTGCAGTGCCTCTGGTGCCCATACATCATGAGAAACCAGCTTGAATGAGACACCTCATACAGGCACATAACCAGACTCACAACTGTCAACTACATGGGCTGTGCTTACTCAGCTCTCCCCAAATTCAGAAAATCTGATGGTACAAGCAGGTTTTTAACAGGCCATGAACCATTTTGTCTGCTGTATTCCTAATGCTGGAGATTTGGGGTTTACCATTCCTAAGTCACCCCACCTTTTGAAAGGGAAAGGCATTCACAGTGTGAACAATTTCATTTTTTTCTTTTAATAGAAAAGTGTATTGGGTTTATATGGCAAAGTTTTTTTGGGGGAGGGCAGGGGGCTAAAGGGGTGGCTTCTATGAGAAGCTTCCCCTGTGTCCAACAGAGACAATGCCAGCTGGCTCCAAGATGGACCTGCTGCTGGTCAAGGCTGTGGCCTATCAGTGACAGTGATATCATCTCTGGGATACCTGCTGCAAGGCAGGAGATAGAGGATTTGGGAGTAAAGTTGAACTTGGGAAGAATGGAGGGGTGGGGAGGGGAGGTGTTTTAAGAATTTGGTTTGATTTCTCATTCTCTTACTCTGATTTTATTGGTAAGAAATTAAAATCAATTTCCCCAAGTAAAATCTATTTTGCCCATGACAGTAATTGCTGAGTGATCTCTCCCCGTCCTTATCTTGACCCATAAGCCTCTCATTATATTTTCTCTTCCCTGTTCACCTGAGGAAGGGAGTGTCAGAGTGGCTTTGATGGGCACCTGGCATCCAGCCAGGGTCAGCCCACCACAAAAAGTCACTATTAAGATGACTGCAATTTTTCTTTCACTTTACAGGGTGAAGGCAAGCCTGTGGTAAAAAAAAACCATATACACTGATTTTAGAAATACGTACTTTTAAGGTCAGTTTAATCTGGATCATCAACATTTTCATTTAAAGGCACAATATATAATCTTACCAAAAAAAAAATTATTTTTTGACCACTTCTAAACTTGATTTCTGCTACGTTTCCATCTCATTTTAGCCAATCCCCTTTCTGATTTTTCTTACAAGTGGCTGGTTTCCAAAAAGCATGATGCTGTGGAGCATGCATGAGTTGGTGCCACTCCAGAAATTAGGTCAGAGGCCCAAAGGAAATATTGAATACACTTACCAAAACAAGCAGAAGTGTCATTGTCTGACATTAACTTCTCAGTGCCTACTAAAGCATCTGCTGCTGGTGTGTTAAAGGAGGCAGATGAAGACATGTCGGACACTTTTAAGTTCGCGAGTTCAGGAAATGAATCAGACATATCTAGAAATCCTGAAGGAGAAAGCAAACATTATAGTACTGACTTAGACATAACACAAATTCAGACTGAAAAAGACATGTTATATCAGGACTGAAGTCACTGAAGTCCCCTCCCTGCTAAATACAAATGATTTTAACCTAGATATTAGCTGTCATCAGTGGAAAGATCCCTGCAGAATGTCAGCCTCAGTCAGGCTTCCAGTACCCAAATTCTACAGCTCTAAAATGCAGTGAAGTCAAAAACTTCAAGGAAAACCACCACCAATGCTCCTAGTTCCTCACATAAGTATCAGACTCAAGATGTTACTAGTTTACTTAGATGTCCTCTGAAGAACTGCTGAAAAAAAACACCTAAGGAAACATACCTGGATCCATAACTCTCTGGAGAGGGGGAGGAGGAGAAAGTGAGCTTTCTGGTGAATAACTACTCATTTCTTGATCTGCAGAATGATCCAAGTTCGTAAGTACTTCACAGTTGTCACTCTGAGAAGTAGGTGCCAATAAAGGAGTCTGGAATGACACAGTAAGAAGAAAAGCATCTTTTTGTATCTAAAGCTTCAGCTGAAAACGATCTTCCTATGAAAGCATTCTGCCTTGGTCTCCAAATACACCAATTCAGAGAACCTACGACTGCCAAACCACCGATCAGGGCATGTTCCAATGTAGTCTTTTAAAGCCAGTACGTTCAGAACAGTCCACTCTTAATTCTTGTAGGTGTATTTTATTTCCTAGTGAGCAGGATATTCTTCTAATTCTCATTGACTGACACAGTTGTAGTACGCAAGGCTTCAAAATGTGAAGAAAATATCTGGCAAAGATTTCTATCGGCCAACACTGGTGACCTGCCAGCTGCTCAGCATAAGCAGCTATCACTTTCTCTTCACATAACTGTTTCATTCAAGCAAAGTTGTATGCTGTACCCAAATATACTGCACTATAAATGTTCCAACAAGCAAAACACTTAGAAACTCCAGAGAACATGCCAAAAATATGAACTAATTTCTTACATACCTCTGTGTAGCCGTCAGTAGATGCTACAGGAGCTCCAGCTTCTGGCAAGGGTGAAGGTGGTTTGCTTTCTGGCTTTTTCTTGGCTATTGTAGACTGTGTTGGAATTCTGTGCAAGTAGCCATATCCAATACCACATCCTAAACTGGACATGGAAAGTAAAACAAGACTTGAAAAACAAAACTAGTAAGCATTTTAAATTCTGAGTCTCTAAAGAGTTTGAGTCTTTAATCTATAGCAAGAAATACCTACCTGCAAGAATCATTTTACTTACTTGCAGTACTCAAGGAGCACTCTGCATTTGACATTTTGACATACGTAAGTTAGCCTTCAGTTGATTATTTTTGTATCTTTACAAAATAGATAACCCGACTATGAGAATGTAGCTAGTGACTCTGATACTGGGGAAGTCAACACAAGTTTGGATCCAGAACATGCCTAATTCCTTGTTCTAAGATAGTTTGTGTTTTGTGTTCGGTTGTCGGGTTTTTTTGGAAAGATTAACAGTTTTGTTTGACAAGTGTAAGTAAACAAAGCTTAACTTGAAATTGACAAGCTGTAATCAACAGTAATAATACTCTTAGCAAGAGCCCATTTACAGTGAGTATATAACCTGTCATCAGCCAATGACTGTCCGGAGGGAGATCAGTACCTTCCTTCTCCACCCCAAGCTCCATTGGGAGTCACAACTACCTCTCGAATGGAATCTGCTTCAGTGTTATAAACCATCAGCTTCAGCGGCTTTCCCTCATGGGATTCAATCAGGGAAAAGAAATCCTCCGACTAAGAAAAAAAAGAAAGTAATGGTTGTTAAACTCAAATGCACAAGACAAGGAGCTGGAAGCAGCTTAGCATTTTAGGTAGTTATTTACTTCAACATGAAATATTACAACCCCAGAGACAGACTAAAACTCACTAGTACAGTTTGATCTTTAGGGGCAACTTTTTCTTTATTGTCACATTTAAAAAAAAGATAATGTTTACCTGACCCATGAAGCATCTGTCATAAACATCAACCTCCTAAAATCCCTAAACACAATCCCCACACATTCGATGTACACACCATTAGACTTATAAAAAAACATAAAATCCAGACCCTACAATATACACTTGGCAGGCACGACTGAAGAAACATGGGCCCTACCTCCTGAAGAATCTGATCAGATCCCACAACGTAGTCAGTGTATGGCTGTAGACCAGCTAGAGCTGCAGGAGATGCAGGTTCAACATCCTGTGAAAGAATAACATTGAGTCATATGTACTTGCAGAAGGATAAACTACCCCACTATTAAAAGCAAAAGCTAACCCCAAAACCAACTGAAGGACAGAACATTTTAATTATGGGACAAAACAGCAGTCCTGAAAAAGTCTACCCCTAGGTGTGACATCTTGCAAAAAATCCTGAATAAGAAAGACCAAGGTGCTACCAATTCAAAACGGGATCCTCTGAAGATGTTGAGAAGTTGTGCTTATTTAAACAATCAGAAACATAACAGTCTTTCCTACTCAGTTCTACTCTTTCAGCTATTCTTCTCGATCTTAAAATAGTTTTTTGGTGCTTTTTGTAACATTAATATTAATGCAGTTTAGCCAACACAGAGGCACCAATCAGGCCAGAATCTTTTTGCTTTTGCCACTGATTCTTCAATAGAGGATGAAAAAACCTTCTCCTCATCACACACTATTTGGTCCAGTTGGGATGGAGTTAATTTTGCTTTACAGTAACAGGCAATATTTAACAGTCATCCACTACTTTTCCCTATTCAGATAGCTCAGACAAAACTCCAAGACTACCACTGTGTGATTTCAGCATTGTACTTCCACATACATGTTAATTCTAAACATTACCCTTTAAAACAAGGTTGTATGAACACTGACAAGCCACCAACGAATTCTGTCTCACCAAAACATGCCACACATGTTCATTGGCTCCCTGGAAACTGCAGAACCTCACACTGGCTCCAAGAAGACCTTGTCCTCCCCACATGTTACTGGGGATCACCTCCACCTCTCTCATTTTCATTGTTTTGATATTATACACCTCCAGCTTCACTGCTTTTTCAGCATTTGCCTTCAGGAGATCTTTCAGCATATTGTTTTCCTTATTCTGTAGAGCACAAAATGAGAGATGATTAATATTATTTCTAGTGGCACCTGTCATACAGATGTCATGCCTGTGTCAGAATTTGAATACAAAGAACCAAAACTGTCGAAGTATAGGCTCTTTGCTTTAAAAATAGTCCCAGCAGTTCAATTTTTTTTCATTAGAAAGAAGCGCTGTCAGCTCACGTCCCTTTACATAAGCACTTACTACTACTCCATTTAATCACTTACATTCCTGCTCTTTGTAACTGCTATTAAATTATATCAGCAATATTAGATCTCAACTATGTAGCCTAACAATAAGCAGCAACATTGTTCTTCATGCTTCTGATCCCAGTCCTTATTCAATAACCCCTCACAGTCAGCGCATATTGGCTGCGAAGGGACAGGCTGTTTGTGAGTTGCTTAGAGAACTATCATTATTTCTGCCCTGTTAAAAGATTAAATGATCTTCCACCAAAACCTACCATTATAACAATCACTTTCAGAAGGAGCCTCCGCTAACAAAAGCAAGACAAACTTAATGAATTCAGCTCGTATGTACTTAGGGTGAAGCATACAGCCAAAGCTGCAAGCCTTTTAAACAAAAAACAAAAAAACAAAAAAAAACAAAAAAACAAAAAAACAATCAAACCAAAGCTCAATTCTTTTCTCATAACTCAACATAGAGGAACAGTGTTCTTAAAGTACAATCAGACAGGCTACGACTCTTTTCCATGCTTTATCAAATGTTGAAATGTTGAAACAAGTTTGCTTAAATAAATGTTGAGCTCTTACCATTGACTCACCAATTTGATATTCTTGTGGCAGAAAATACACATGAATGACTAATATCATAAACATGGTGTTAATCTGTTAAGGAGTTTGGGTGACTAAAGGCATAAATAAGGCTCTTTCCTCAAATCTGGATCCAGCCAGAGAAGAGATTTTGAACACTGCCAAGTTTCGCTTTATCTTTAAATGCCATATACAATGTCCAATATGAAAAGCTTTATTTACCGCAACAGCTTTGGCCTCTACGTTACAGCATTACAATGCCCGTATTTCATGCAAGTAAAAAAAAAGAAACAATAAAATCATTTGAGGCTTACAAGCCTAGTGTGTCCTATGGCAATTATGAAATCAAAGAAAGGTTCCAGTCCTCCTTGTTGAGCTGGGGAGTTTTCTTGAACCTGCAAAACATACATTTTAGGTTTACATTATGTTACAGTGTTAATATTTACACTTGATTCAATATTGACTTTAGAGCAGAACCACAGGTGAGATCACAGACTTTGGAAAGCAGTCCACAACTGTGAATTTGTTATTATAAGACTATGAACAATGAACGTCCAAATTAAGCTGTAAAAATCAGGTTTTGGACTCCACACAAGACACAAGTATTGCGATTCAGAGTGCACAGCACAGAATTATTAAACACTGAAGACTTTGGAGAAGAGCTTAGTTTCCAAAGTGCTGCTTCAGGATTTTCTTCCATGCTAGTAATAGCCTGAGAACACTGAGAGCCCCCAGTTACATCACAGCCATGTTTTACATAAATACAATTTACAGTTGGGTTCCCACAACTTACAGCACATTTGAATAGGAACACTTAAAAGAGTATGATACAAACACATGGCTAACCACAAGTACTGGTCAAGAAGATTGCTATCTCTTACAGAAGATTCATGAAGAGTTGCAACATCTCAATTTCATTATAACCAGGTTATTGTAAAATAGTGTAAGAAAGAAATATAGCGAATACCTATTAAAACGCACTCACACTGGGATAAAACCCACCAAAAGTTACATGGAGCTTGATATATGCAGAGTATATGAAAGCATACCCACTTCAAAGTATACTGACACAGCAACATATATCAAGGGAACCGCTGCTATCATGCTTACCAGTTTGTACTGCTTTCATCTTTACCTTTTGTTAATGCAACAGCACAGCCCTTAACCTGCAATACGTTTGACTTCCGAAAGCCACCCCACAATTTAAACACTAAGTTACAACCCATGCACCACCTAATCTAAAAGTACATTGCTAACAAACTTTAAACTGCTACCTCTCACATTTGGTCTTGTGCTACCCAGCTGCTGTTTATTTTTATCTCTAATAAAGTTGTATCAGTACTGGGGCTTTTGCTGGCATAACTGTCTATTCAGGTTACAAAATATACTTAAGTAACAGCACAATTATTTCAGCAAAAGCTTTTAAAGAAAATAAAAACCCCAAAACCACATAACACCTCATGCTTTATTTTTAACAGTCAAAACTGACCACTGTAACCACAACTGGAGTAGGAAGTATTAACTTACATCACAACCCTAGACTGCATCTAAAGCAAACAGCCAGCTTATGCTGAAACAAAAGTTTAAAAGGTTAAGAAAAGTTTACTCCAAATTCTAAATAACGTGCAAGAAGCCTTACAATGTAAATATCACGTAACAGGACATCAAGGATGAAAATGTATGCAAAAAGAAGTACACGGAAGCTATTACAGAGCTCATGACATAGCTGTTCAGGTATCTAAAAGCCATAGAGACTCCCATATGATGATGTAAGTTGCAAAAAACCCTACAGTATTTGGTCTTCAAAATGACACCTACCAGAATTTGTATGAATTCCATGTAGCAAAAAGAAATTACTTTGTCTCCTGCATACTGTAGGTGTCCAAAATCACCCTTCAGAAAACTCAGCAGTATGCTGCACTTAGCATGAAAGGAGGCTGCACTTTGTGACCAACAGTCACTTCATACGGAGCTAACCCAGTTAAGGAGACTGACAAAAGCGGAACCCCTAACAACAGTGGTAACCTATAAGCATATCTTGTGACACTGAGAACCACACACCACCGATGAAGTGGAAAGCAGCACGCTGGAAAAACGTTTCCGCTCTTATTCAGGGAGGAAGACCACCAACTAAATGAAGTGATGACGTCTGCAACAGCTGTTATCAGCAATCCTTCTGCCTACGTTTAAGCTCCAAGTTACGCATTTAAACCACTGTGCGTGCAGACAATCTGCCAGATGCAGGAGTTAGAGCAAATCTGCATCTCCATACAACGCCTGTGAGAAGCAGCCCCTCAGGAAAACACTGTCTGAAGCAGGAATCAGCCCCCAGCCAAGATGCTGTAAAGAACTGCAGAGAAATGAGTCAGATCTGCCAGTCAATGTAATCTGGAAGAGAGCGAGGCCGCAGAAAGGGCTATCCTGCTCTTAAACCATGCCAAGTTCCTCGAAAGCTGCACAAAAGGCTCCCCTCAACTGCCGCCAGCCAAGACACGGCAGGTCGAGGCTCTGAGCCTAGCGAAGCCGACAGGGCGGGTACCCATGGCCTCCGGGGCGGCACGGCCGCTCCTCCCCCGCCGTCGTGGCAGTTCCCTGGAAGGATCCGACAAGTGAGGGCCAGGGAGCCCGCGGCCGACAGGCCCCAGCCCAGCGCCCTCGCAGGGGGCTCGGCCTGCCTCGGCCGCCACAGACCGGAGGGGGAGAAACGGGACCCCGCGCGCCGCCGGTCCCGCCTCAGCGCCCGCCGCGAAGCCGCCCGCGGGCCCGGCGGCGGCCGCCTCACCCCGTGCACATGGAAGCCCTCGGCGCCGCCATCGGGAACCTCGGAGCTCGATCCCAGGCCCATGCCCGGCGCCGTGCTCACGGCCGCGGAGCGGAGGGCTCAGCCGGCGGCGGCAACGGCAACAGCAACGAACATCGCCCTCGACACCACCCCCTCAGCCGACGGCCTCGCAGGCCTGAGCAAGCGAGCGCCGAGCACAGCGCCCTCTACGGCGGAGGAAGATGGGAACTGAGCTCCGCTCTGCTGTCTGGCGTGACGCGGTGACGGGGCGGGGCCGGGGGAAGCCGGGGGGAAGCGGCCGGAGCTGTGCTGATGGCCGGCGTTGCGGTGGTGGGTGCTGAGGCGGGTTAGGTGGCAGCTGGTTTCCAGAGCCACCAGGCCGCAGCCGTCTTTCAGTTTAAAGCTGTTCCCCCTTGTCCTATCACTATCTGCCCTTGCAAAAAGCCCCTTTCCAGCTCTCCTGTCGGCCCTTTTAGGCTCTAGAAACTGCTCCTCAGGTCTCCCCAGAGCCTTCTGTTTTCGAGGCTGAACAAGTCCAGCGCTCTCAGCCCGTCTTCATTTCAAAAGAGCAAATGTTTCTGTTCTGTTCCCCCCCTAGGAACGTATTATGAGCTATGCTCATGAAAAATATATCCACCAGCTGAGAAAATCTGGCATTAGAGCTGAAGAAGCAAATCAGTGGTCCCATGTTGCTGTTTTTCAAGACACAGGGAGCCTTGTGATTAGGTGATTATTAAGAAGTGGTGATATTTCTATTTCCATGAAATTTCGTATCTGCTCTGCTTTTTTTTTACTTAGGATGAATTGTGTCAGTATTTAAAGGGTGGCTACAAAGAACATGGAGGCTCCCTTTGTACAAGGAGCCACATGGAAAAGATGAGGGGTCATGGGCACAAGTTGCTCCCAGAGAGATTCCGACTGGACATGAGGAAATTTTTTCACAGTGAGAACAGTCTGTTGTTGGAATAATCTCCCCAGGGAAGTGGTGGGTTCCCCAGCACTGGACACTTAAGTTTCACCTGGACAGGCTGCTGGGCCATCTAGCCTAGGTCATGCTTTACCTAGAAAGCCTGGACCAGATGAAACTTGAGGTCCTTCTCAACCTGGGATTTTATGATTCTATGATTGAATTCTTCTGATTCTGCCTTTAACTTATTAATGTTCTGAAAGTTTTCTATTGGTAGTAATAATTTTAAGCATTATTATATTAATATAGTTAAAGTGCCAGTTATATTTCCTGCATGAGTACTTTCCTTCCAGTTTAAACCCACCATTTTAGTAAGCCTCCCTGGTAGTTACTGCTCTCACCACTGAGATGTCATTTTTCCAAAGGATCCATCCACATAATTTCTGTGGTCCAAGTGTGATGCATAAAGATAGAAGAGGAGAAAAAGGTGCTTTCTCCCTCCTCTGCCTTTGCTTCCCAGTGAAGCTGAAATTCCCTGTCACTTCAATAACTATTTATTTATGAAAGCCATACATTCTGGATCAGTTTTCTCCAAAGAAAGGCCAGGATGTTCTCAGGAGCCTTTTTAAGTAATTGTTTCCTCTAAGCTGTGATTGCAGATCTGTGCATTGCCTTCACTGAGCATATGATAGGAGTGCATGTGGGTATTCAGAAAAAATAAATCTCTGTCAAGCATTTTTCTGTGTTTCCTGCTACATACATTTGGGAACCTTATATTTTTTTCTTACATTCCTTTTATTCTGAATATCTAACAGCTATGTTGTTGGCCATGCAATTGTATTTCTGCCTATAATAAAAATCAGAAATATTTCTTCAGATGCACCAAAAGTAGATGCTGGAGAAGAGAGTCTGATCCCTGTAAGCGGCGAGGAGAAGCAGACAGGCCAACCCAATATGGGTGATAAGCAACTTCTATTTGTGATGCAGTTCACACATATATAGGAGTGGTATTCAGCCACTCCTTCTTGGCATAACAGTATTGGTTAGCCCCCACAGCTTCCTCCACATTCTCCTCCCAGGTCCAGTCTCCGGCCACCTGTGGGGGCCACCCCCTGCCTTGCTTGCACAGTCCTCCAGAACTCTATGGTTCTGCTCTTAGAGTCATTCTGCAACAATTCCCTTTTTCTTTGTGCAAGCAAGGCATTATGGGTTATTCTGTTCACCTGTTTTATCACACAACTATAAACAAGTCTAATAGCTACGATGATTAACCTAATCAATGATACCTAAGTGCAATACTTTTAAACAGTGTTTTACTCAACCTGTAATGCCCCGTGAAGACAACCCTCTTGTTATTCTTAGGATATTGCTCATTTACTATTGCTGGGTAAGCTGAGCCAGGGTTCTCAGCTGTGCATGCATCGAATTAGCATAATCAGAGAGACTCATACAACACATTCCATCAAACTCTTCACATCCATGTCCCTGTTCCAACATCAAAAGGTTCTGCAGTGTTGCATGTCTCACAGAGTCAACATTAAAACAAATCAGAAATTGCCTTCGATGTAGAATTGTCTGCTTAGTTGAGCCAAGGCCCCGGCTGAAGCACTTACAGTGATTTGGCATATTATGATTGGATACATGTTTTGAAGACCCTTAGTGACTAACACATAATTGGTTAAACACAGGTGTGAGAACTCAACCTTGAAAGCTTGCCAACAGTCCACAGTTCTCATTAACTTGGTGAATTCCAGCCTCTTATCTTGCTTGCTTAAGCTTCTTTAGGCCTCTCATGGCCTTGCTGTATCTTTCAGGACTGTTCAAAGTTTATGTACCAATTATGCATTCTCTTGTGAGAACACTGTCTCCACATCTCCCCCCTTTTGTTTTATCCAGTAACAAGTCGCTACTACAGCAAGGCACACACAAATTTACATTAGCAGAGTAACTATTACAGGGTGCAGCAGCATGTCGAAGATGCTGATGGCAGTGAAGGACTAGCCAAAGAAATTTCTTACCAGTGGAATTCTCCCCCCCTCTTAAATTTGTTCCATCACCTGCTTTATAACACTACCATTGTATTAAAATTTTTCTAGCTTTTGCCTTAGCATTTTCTAGCAGCTACTGCAAATTTCCATACTCTTAACATCTCTTTTACAAGTGACAAATCTATACAATACAAGGTGCAGTTTCTTATTAGCAACTAGCTAGTAAATACACAAAATCACAACCTCTAATAATAGCTACTTTACAAGCACACATATTCAGGATGTTACTTTTCAGTTGCCCCCAAGTGATGTTTTGCAGTTATTTGTTCTTCCTCTATCTCATTCTGCTTGGGGTAATCACGGTCAGCTCCTGTAGCTGAGGCATCAGGTTTATCCATTCGTCTGTCCAGCTCATGGCAAGGCTTGACAAACTGCAGGCAGTCACCATGGACCTGTAGGCAGGAGGGCACAAATATACCCCCTCCCCCAGGTTATCAGTTCTTCAGAAGTAGTCAGGTTAAAGTTAAATGTAACATCATTACTCTCTCCCCCCCCCCCCCTTTTTTTTTTTTTTTTGAGTCCCTGCAAAAGCCGTCATTACTCCTACTACAGTCCCACGTACAGAACAAGGACCCTGTGGAGACTAACAGCAAACCAGCTCCGAGAAGCATCATTGCAGTGCAAGGTGGCAGGCTCAACCTTAGCGGGCGTCCCCGCAGAGGCTCTGCCTCCCCCACATTGTATGAGGCTTGGGCTTTTATACTGACCAAAATGCACACTCATTCCGACACAGGTGGCCAGCCTGTGCTGGAAGAAGTGGCCAGCAGTATCTACAGAGGTCTCCAAGGGTTGACAGAAACCTGGACATACTTATATTTACCAACTTCTAGTACATGAGTATCACAGAGAAACTGTATGGGCTCTCCCTGTCAATTGCAAGAAAAAATCATATACAGCTTGAGTATAAGAGAATTTTAACACATACGTGGTCACTGTTTGCCAGGCCTCCTTAACTATTTTGAGATCAAGAGCTTCCCACTCTTTAGCCCCCTGCTGTGTAGTAAACACAGGATATGCAAAGATGCCCATTGCAGAAAATTCCCCAGTAATGATCACATATTTGGTTACCCATTGTTACAACTGAGCGTCTCCAGGGCCAGCAAGTCCGAGCAGACCGACCCGGGAGACAAAGAGTCAGGGTCTGGAAGCAGAGGACACAAATCTGGCTCGGATTCAGGGGATTCGGGGGCTGATCCTGCGCCGAACTCGGGGTCTCCGTTGCTCGCAGCTGTGTCTCTTATCAGATGTCTCTCGTTCGGTATGTAGCCATCTGCAGACCTGGCTCCTCCGTGACTGAGTTAAATTTTTTTTTCACTCTAAGGCGTAGTGGGTTGGAGAGGCTCGCGGTTCCTTTAAATCTCCCGCTCGCGCATGATCCCTATTTTTTACTGCGTGCTTCACAGTGGCGCCGCAATCGATCCGGCGCCGAGGCACCGCCCTCTTTCTTTCGGATTTCTCGACATTTATCATGCGTATACCTTCTAATATACTTTCTCTGTCCTTTTCACAGTCCCTACTTTCGGAACTGGGGTGGTGGGGGAGCAGGGGGTTACACCTCCTCCGCGGCGCCTTCTGATGGAGGATGGGGAGAAAAGGAAGGGGGGGGAGGGAGCCCTGTGCTCCCACAAGTTGGGGGAAATGAGTTGTAATCTTCCCCCGGTTTCAACCGACCGGGGACGTCTGTTCCTAGTTTCTCCGTTGCTACCACGGCAGTTTTCTTTTCTGCCTTGTATCTTTTTATACAGTTCATTACTTCCCTCCTTGGTTTACCGAGTTTCTTTGCCTTCTTATAATCATTAAGCACTGAGTCAAATAGTTCATCACCAAACTTTTGCCACTCACTCTTCTCAAATATTGTATTAGGATCTGCAAAAAAAATCTCTTAGCCTTCCCTACAGGCAGTAGACCTGCTAGCTGCTTTAGAGTCTCAGGCTCAATTCCCCGCTTTTATAAAAAGCACTGTAAAAAGTTCAGGGCTCAGTTCCCCGCTTTTATAAAAAGCACTGTAAAAGTTCAAGGCTCAGTTCCCCGCTTTTATAAAAAGCACTGTAATAAGTCCAGGGCTACCTCTCGGTCCATTTTCATGGCCAGCCTTTTCCGGATCGTCTTCTTCTGGGTCGTCCTGTAACCTCCGTCTCCGGATCGGCCTCCCGACGCAGCAGTGTCTGGTTCACCCCAGCGGCGGATTTTTTCGGTTAATCCAAGCACCCGGGTCCATCACGCCACTGCAGCAGCATTGCCCGAGCTTCCCGGCCGTTGCCGCCGGCGCCGCTCACTCGCCGTTCCGGGTCCCCGTCGGCCGGGGCCC